CTCCTCCGTGGTATTATGTGTCTCGGAAAGAAGCTTTGTTGATATAACTCACCTCTGCTCCCTGAACACAAAAATTTGTACCAAAAAAAAAAAAAAAAAAAACACAGTAACTTTGCCTATGTTAGAGTGTTTCTCAATATATCTGCAAAAAAAACCAATTCCTTTTTCTCCTTTAGGTTGCTTAAAGAGTATAAAAGACCTTATGCCTTTAATGTCACTAAGAATCAGGAGTTGCAAATCTATACTTTCTGAAAGAACAAGATTTATTCAGAAATCATTTTTACAGGCAGGGGATTTTCTTCCGTGTTCTTCCTTGGATTAATTTTTAAAGGATTTTTTGAATTTTCTAATTTGGTGAAAACTTTGGGCAAAAATACCTGAGCTAGCTTTGAGGAGAGAGGAAAAAAAAGTCAAGGTGAGTCTGCTGTTAATTCCAAACTTTTGTGCTGTTTAAAAAAAAAAAAAAAAAGTCAAGCATTGCCAGCAGCATGAAATCCATTTTTAACTTGGTGAGAACAGGTAATTAAGTGTATACAGATATGCTCTAGTTCTTTAAGGAAATCAGTTTTCATCCAAAATACATACTGAAAATGCGGAAAATTAGGAATTAATTTATAGGCACACAGGTGATAACACACAGTTAAGCGAGTAAATATGTTGCTTTTTTGATATTCTATTTGTATTTTGAGACTTATTTTAACAGCCTGGCACCTTCAGTCATCCACAACATACAGTTGTTTGAGAAGTTGGACTATGAGCCGTATATTTGCTATATTGTAATGAGTGCTTGAATCCAAAATGATGCTTTTACTACTCACTTATGTTTTCCTTTGTGTTGCTGTTGTTTATTGTCTCTTTGTAATAGGACCCAGAGGTATCAGCTACTGCATGGACATGAAAAATGGCATATTGTTAAGGCATTTTAGAGAATGGTAAATAAAGCAAAAGCCCCTCTTTCACCAGCTGGGATTTTGTTCCCTTCCCAGCAGTGCTGAGTTCCTGCACCAGCCACGGGCACCTGAGACTTCAGCGTGGTCAGTGGCAGGAGCAGACACATGAGCAAACGCAGTTGGTAGCTCAGGGGTAGCATCACTCTTGACACGTTTGTGTAAATGTGAGTGATAGGAGTGCGTTGCAGTGCAGTTAGATGGCTGTCTTGCTTGAGACAGGGAAGAAGAAAATTTGTTTTTGTTGGAGCAGCTCTTTCCCGCACTGTTACATCATGTCTCTGTTGTGCTCACAAGCTGATAGCCTAGAGAAGGGAAATGAAGAGCTCAGATATCTCCGGTCAGGCCTAATTCGTAATTTGCATCCAAGAACGCAAGTCATCCTTCATCCGTATCATTTGCTTCTGTATATATTCACTCTCTGACTCTTCTGCTTTATTTCCGTCCTCACAGCACAAAAAAAGGGGCTGGGACTTCATCCCCTGATGTGGTTTCCATTGCCTTTTGTCAGAGGCTAGGAGTTCACAGTGGGATTTTGGCCAAAACGGTGCCAATATTGTGTAATTTCCAGGATTTTGTCTTGAGAGTATAGTGTGGCTGCTCTAGAGAAAACACACGATGTAAAAAGAAATGTCATTTGCTGGGATTTAGGAGAACATAATGGTTCCACATACTTAAGCTAGGAGTTTTTAGTTGAATTAGGCCAGCGATGTGGCTATACTCATGGTTCACTGTGCTGCCTAAAAGAGCAGGTAAAGGAAACGGAGGATTCTAGATGAGAATAATATTGAAAGATTCAGAAGTTATGTGAACTTTCCTGGTCTGAGACGTTGCACCCATGACAGATTGAAAGGCAGTTCAGATTGCAGTAGCAAGCGTGATGTGTGGCCTGTGCTATATTGGAATTAGAGCATGTTCCAAATTTAGAGTTTCTAGTCTCTAGTAAATCAGGAGCAGCTTTATGAAAAGAAAAGGTTTTTCTTCTGAAACTGAAATATCAAAAATTCCAATACAAAAACACATTCTAATTCAAGGGTAATCCTGGAAGAAACTGGATGGTGCTTTTTATGATAGTCCTTGGTCACAGCATTTCTGTGATGAATGTGGTTGTATCAGCTGAGTGGGAGAGCACAGGGCATCTTACGTTCGAGTTCAGGCAGGAAACGTAGCTCACAAAGAAGAAGGGGTGCTCAAGCCTGCAAGCAGCAATCCTCGGGTCTTTGGCAAAGCAAACTTAGACGCTAGTGGTGAGTTCCTCTGAAACAAAATGATTTTTCAAACAAAAAGTTCTGTGTTTATATTCTAAACTTTAATATTTAATTTAGATTTTCCACACGTGAAATTGAAAATTGAAGAAAATGTCTCCAAATTTATACACAGAAATTGTGAATTTGGATTGAAAGATTTTTTTAACAAGGAATTTCCTTTCCTCTGTAATCTGTACATATTCTTTCATACCCATAATCTAATATGTACATATTTTAGCATCAGATTATTATTCTTGTAGTCAGTTTTTGTTCATTATTTATTAAAGCAATATTCTAATGATTGCCTTTATGTAGCTTATTAAAGTAGTAGCTTTAGGAAACAACTTGCCATTAAGTAAAGCACTGTTTTAAAAGGTTATGGTAGCAAAATCTTTAATCATTAAGGAGTACCCTAAGATTATAATATGGATAAAAATGTACTTTCCTTTCTGGAATAATCTACGCTGCCTGGTACAGCAGAGCAACAGGAGAGAAGATATGTTCAGTTGCTGTGAGAGCTTGTAGAAACTCGTAGAACGTGTAGAAAGCAAGAGTCAACTAAATCCAGTTGGACAAGCATATGGCACATTTCCTCCAGTTGCTGCTGCTTTTGCTCTGAAAAAACCTCCAGGTTGTCCCCAGAGAATCCAACCTGCTCTAATGCTTTACTTCCGTCTCCTGCACACAACATTATGCACTCTGGCACTTGCCTCTGAGGTTCTTGACTGGTTAGAATACAATAAGGAGCTTATAGACGAGCTTCACGTTTTCCTGATTGTGTTTTTGCTGTACTTTATGGTGATTTTTTGGAAGTATCTGTCTTTTCAAAAAGAAAAGGAGAAAGGGTTAAGTCATTACTTCCAACCTCCTGCTCTTTGGCTTGTTGGTAATCAAAGCTAGTGGGTGACTGCGTTGTGTTCTTTTGGAAATCACCTTCAGAAATGGTGTCAGTGTTAAGGATGTATTGCAGGTACTTCTCCATGTTGAGAAGCTTGAGCCTGTAGTTTCAGTGACTTATTTGAGAAAGGAAGTTTTGCAAAATAAACACCCCCAAAAGCTACCAGGAGTATCAGGTCACTTGCTATGAGGAGGATGTTTCTCTCTTGTGCTGGGCCACTGTGGACAATCTCAGGGAGATTTCTCCATATGATTTTTTTTTGAGTGGGACTCTTAAGATATGTTCCTAGTATCTTTCGTTATTATTTATGCTTAGAATGGTGATTTTTGTCACCCGTTCTCATGCTATGGTGTAAATGGTGCACTCGTTTGGTAGAAAATTGATCCAGGATGTACCTTGTGGGAACAGAAGACTTAGATTTTCAAGCTTGATTATTAGCTGTGTACCCTTGGATTTCTAGGGAAATTCAGGTTTCTTCACATCTGCCAGAGTGCCCATGTCCCACCTGCAGGGAGCATTTAGGTATGGTTTTGCCTGTTTAGCAGAACCAGTCAGCAGCATCCTCAAGAAATCCACAGCAGCATTGCTGTGAGATGCAAACCCTTTCCGACAGCTCCCACTGTGTTACACGACTCCATCTGAGTGCTGCTTCCCAGAGGGGCTGAGCACGGCGACAGCCCCTGACAGTCTGAATCAGCCCGTGCCCATTCAGAAGCGCCTGTTCTTCCACTGTCAGGGAAGTGCAGACAGTATGTAGGAAAAACGTGTCTGCTTTTGTGCGTCCACAGCCTTTTGGGGTGCCCGTTAAGGGCTGGAGATCTGCAAGCCCCGTGCCGAGTTCCTGGTTCTGCAGAGATGGAGGTAGCAGATGAAGAGCTCTGAGCAAGTCAGTGGAAGGAAACCGCTTTTCCTGTCTTTGTTGGAGGAAGTTTCATTAAGGAGAAAGAATGCTAACCTGAACCAGTCTAATTCTAGAACTCCACCCTCAGAGCCAATGGATTTGCTTTGTTTTTATGCACAAGCAGAGTTCAGCTCACATTATTTAGGAAGAAAAACGGCTTCCCTTTCTGTATTGACTAGGTACAAGATCCATTGACGTGTGGTGATTGGAAACCAAATGCCATGCCAGTGGAGGTATTCTCATCATAGAAGAGGGTAGTAGAAAGGAGCAACTGGATCTACATTCAGTTCTCCCATCCCTGGGACCTTTACACAGTATCCAGAAGAGTCTTTCTTGCTTGTACTTTTGCCAAATTCTTGTGATGTTTGGGCTGAGTGGTCCATCCTCAGCTTGGAAAAATGGCCTGAGTTTGGAGATATCGTCTTTCCTCATCCATTAGCTTATGCAGCAGTTGCAGCTTGAAAAGTGACACTTCATTTTGGCTATAAGGGGGAAGGGGATGGCAGCAGGGCACTCAGATTTCATTTCCCCTTGCTCCTCCCTCCAGTCTAACTCCTCTTGCTCCCTGCTAATTTACTCATCCAGATGTTTACAGGTGTGCAGAAATGTGCTGTTAGCTGTGGGGAAGCCTTGCAGGCTGTTCAAAGCTTTGGCTGTGCTATATGATTTTTGTAAACAGTGACTTTAACCCTGCAGTTCATACATGAGACTTCCAGGCAAGATAGCCATGTTTCAGGAATCAAGATAGCTCCATTCCAGCGGGCCTGCTTCGCAGCGCCTCTGCGCGTGGGGCAAACTAACACTGACGGTCCTGCTGGCTTTCCCTGCTCATGTTTTCCGCCAGCCATTCTCTCTCCATTCCTATATTTTCTTTGGTTCAACCCTCTAATTCCCCCTTCGCTGAAAATTTCCTTTCTTTTCTTCTTCCTTTTTTTTTTCTTTTTAATACTTTGTAGAGAATATGTGCAAAGTTGGTTACTGACTTTTCCTCTTCTTCCCCTCCGTAGCAAACAGCAGAACTCCTCCAAATCCAAGTCTGTTTGGGAGCAGAGGACCAGCCAGATCCGGATGCACAACTTCCGAGCCAGCTGTGAGGCCCTGTACAACGAGCTGGATCCGGAGGAGCGCGTGCGTTACGCCACCACCCTCCACATCCGGCCAGACATGAAGACCCATTTGGACCGGCCTCTGGTGGTGGAGCCCAGAAGCGAGGGGAGGAACAACATCAGCAAGCTGAGCCCCGTGGACGTGCAGGTGGTGGAGCAGGCCAAGATCAGCCCTGCTGATGGCGCGGAGGCTCCCCGGAAACACCACCGGCATCGGGATAAAGACAAGTTGGGAGAGCAAGAGAAGGGAGACGTGGCCAAGGATGAGAACGGGGAGTCTGGCACCAACCACAAGGAGGAGCGGCACCGGCAGCACCGGAGCCGCAGCAAGGAGGTGGAAGGGGGCAGCAAGGAAGGGAAAAGTGATCGCAGCAGGGGCCAGGAGGGAGGGAAGAGGCACCATCGCCGGGGATCGGTGGAAGAAGGTGCGGAGAAGGAGCACCGCAGGCATCGGACTCACCGCCATTCTGCTGAGCGGCAGGGCAAGGAAGGCAACGGGACGATCAACGGGGCCAGGAGCGAGCGGCGTTCCCGGCATCGAGGAGGATCGAGGTCTGGGAACCGGGAAGGAGAACCCAGCTCAAAGGGAGAGAACAGTGAAGAGCCTCACAGACGCCACCGATTCAGGAGCAGAGCATTGTCAACCTATGAGTCTGTGGAGAAGGAAAATGGAGAGAAGGATGGGGAGGCTGGGGAGAAAGAGCACCGCAATCACCAGGCCAAGTAAGTGAGCATGGCCTAGCTAGACATGCCACTGCAGCAGCTCAGAGGGCACCAGGCCCCAAATACCCTTCTATGGTGTTTCCTGATGTTCCTTTTAAGCTTCACCAGCCAAGGATGACCGTGGTCCATGCCAGCCCATAAAATAGCTCAAGTCTTAAAAAAAAAAATAGATTTCCTGATGCAACGGCCAACAGGCCTGGTAGGACTGTCTGCCCCATCTACCTCATAATGCACAATAGAGTATTTCACAGCCTCTTAAGGAAGTTTGTGTTTGATTTGCATATTTTTAAATCTTGTCCACCTTTGCTTACAGCCCTTTGGGGCTTACTATTTTTATGCTGTGAGTCTGTGTTTCTAGTTGTCACAGCACACGGCTGCAATAGAAGTGGCTTTTTTCATAGAAAGCAGTGGTGTGTCTTGTTCTGTTTAAATCTTACCTAAGTCAAGTGAGAAAAATAATAGGCATGGAGCTTTTAAAACGGTTAATAAGCAAAGATTGCCATTGTTAATGATAAAAATAAGTCTCTTTAGGATTCCTTAGCATTGAGCGTGTGTCGCCATGGGGAACTGAGGAGCATTGGATATTATTTTTTGCTGTGCATATCATCTTCCTTTAAGCTGGATTACAAATCACTTTGCATATTGCTTAGATTGATCATATGCACAATTCCACTTTCCTCCTGACTCTAATAAAGCCACTGCTAGAGTAGAAAGCAGAGTTTTTGAGCATCTTACATTAACATTAAGAGTGGTTTAGGACTGGAAATGCTTATCACTAAATTTAAGTAAATCTGCAGTAAAACATTGCTGTAGCATAATGTCAGACCTCATGCACAATCTAGCTGATGTTGGAAAGCTAGTGTCACTCTTACAGAAAAGTGCCACGTGGTCCTTACTTATAAACCCCATTTCTGAGTCTCGTTAAATAAAGAAGCTACTTCCAGTGGCACAGATGATGTTGGTCCAGAAGGTCTCAGAGAGAACACGTCACACACAATATGACCAGCAAGGTTTTCTGCAGCTTGTGTCCTTTCTGCAAAGGACCAATATGTAGCAAACAGCCTATGAAGCCATAGCTAATGCATCTCGGAGTCTCAGCATACATGTGTTTTCTTAAGCCTGCTGAGGTCAAATAAACTCTGCTTTTATATTTTAGGGAGAATCAGTGTGAAATAGAGGCTAGTGGAAGTGTTAGTGTTGTCCCTGTGCACACTCTTCCCAGCACCTATCTGCAAAAAGTGCCGGAGCAGCCAGAAGATGCTGACAACCAGAAGAACGTGACTCGGATGATTCAGCCACCTCTGGACAAAACGACCACTGTGAACATCCCTGTCACTATCACGGCCCCTCCAGGGGAAACCACTGTCATACCGAGTGAGTGCCTTTGTTCCCCTGCTGTTCGCTAGGAAGCAGCCAGAAGAGAGAGCTATCTTTTCTTAAAAATAACTACCCTAGTACTGAGCAATGATCTCTCCTGTCATCCAGCATCCTTGTGGGAGATGGCAAGGGAGACCTGGTATTACTATATGTTCTAAAGATCATGCAGCTTGCAGAAACCCAAAATGCGAGGGTCACCTGGTGTGTGTCTTGAAAACACTGGGTGAGATCCCCTGGAGATAGCACACCTAGAGCTTATCCCTCTATCAGCTCAGACTATGGAAAAGAGAAAGAGGAACAACAAAGCTGAGTGATCAAGAGCTGTGCAACAAAATAAACAACCAAATTTCCCCATTAGAGCAGTCAGGATCCTTTGTGAGTGCGCAGGACCCACTGCTCCCCTCTGCGTTGTCAGGTTTGCTCGCGGCAGTGTTTGCCCCCGTCGAACCGCGCTGCGTGGTGGAAGGCAAGGAGCTCCTTGCCTCCCATGGGCAAGGAGCTGGAAGTGGTGGCACTGCATTAGAGCCAGTAGACCAAAGTCAGGCTTCTTTGCTTATTACCTGACCCCATCGTGGAGGGGCAGGACTCGTGCTATACGGCTGTCACAGTGACCCTTGTGGCCTGAGCACTTTGGGGTTGTAATTGTGGTGTAACCTCAGGGCTTCTTACAATCCTCTTACACAACTCCGTTTCAGCAGATCCACCTAAACTTGTTCTTTTCTAGGACTATGTACTCTGTCTTGTGTCTACAGGGGTAGATTTAGGTTGTTCTACAGACAGTCCCAAGATCATTGTGCCCATGCCCAACATGTGCCCCCTGCGACGCATCCAGCCCATGTCAACCCGAGGCTGCTCTGGCAGTGCAGACATTGCCAAAAGGAAACCTCCAGAGCTGGGAGTACTGGGGAGAGGTGGAGTGCACAGCCCAAGGGGTTTGCGTTAAGTCAGGAGCTGTCAGGGCTCTGCTTCCTACGAGGCACAGATAACAGTTAGCTATTTGTATTTTTCCATTGTATTCTAACATCCACATGAGATTTACCTTTTTTTTTCTTCTTTTTTGGCAATTTTGCTGTTACTATACTGAGTTCCTGTCTGTCACAATTTATCAGAATCTCTCTTTCCTGGCTGTTTCTAATATATCTGGCTTGAGATACAGTAAGGAATTTATTGAACATGTCACTCACACACAATGAAATACCATTTTGTTGCAAAGTAGAAAAGTAATAATAAAACTACCTCTAAAACATATTACAAGTGGGTGTTGTTTTTTTTGATTCCAGGTGCTGTGAATTAATAGACAAGTGTATATATCTGTCCAAGAAAAGAACTTGAAGCATAAAATGTCTTCTTGCTCATATATTAATAACTACCTTTAGTAAATTATCATATAATTTACTGCTGAGAACAGAATTTTGGTGGAGACTAGAGGAATCAAGAAAAGTTGAAAACCTAATGTGAGATGAAGCTTGGCACATTTATCCAAGGGGAGCTGTGCCAAAAGTGAGGTGCTGTATGTAGGCACAGGGTTGAATGGTCCAAGAAGCCCCTTCCATACCCATTTTCCTAATGGTGTGAAGTTTAGCCAGTTTCAGCCCACAAATTATCAAAGATTACCTATGAATTCGCTCTGCTACAGGTTGCAGAGCCAATCCCACTCCTGGTTTATGGGGAAGGGTTTGGAACTGTGAGGTTGGTTAGGGTTACTGTCTCTTTTGTTGGACCAGCAGCTGATCCTCTCTCCCTCATTAATTACAATACTTGGCACAAGATTTCAGTCTCCAGCTTGGCAGCTCTTGAGTAAATAAGTGTAAGGTTTCTGTGTTTATCTGCACTGGGCATCTTCATTTCCTGGCCGTTTCAGATACAGTGCTCATCAGTGCAGCAGTTAAGGAGCAATGTAATTGTAGTGTGTATCATATGGTTGTAAATAGCTGTGATAACAATCAAATGATTGTTCGTCACATTTAATCAACGTATTCAAAGGCGGCTCTTCTCTATGCCAGCTGCATTTTTCCCACATCCAGCTGTTGCAGGCAGCCTGCTGTGTGAAGGGTGCGGATGCATTTTTCTCTCTCTCTCATTTCTCTTTCCTGAAATTCACATTACAGTGAACAACGTGGAATTTGAAAGCAAAACAGAGGAGAAGAAGGATGTTGATGACCTAACAAAAAATGGGCCCAAACCAATCCTGCCTTACAGCTCCATGTTTATCTTAAGTCCTACAAATCCGTAAGTCCTCTGACTCTCTATTGCTGCTTATGGTTCACTTGTACTTCAAGCATGGTTATTCAGAGAAATAACATTAGCTTGATCTTCATCTCTGTCAGTGAAACACACTGGAAAATTAAATAAATGCCTATGTAGGTTGCAGACCAGATGCTGCCATTCTGCTGACCTCTCCTATGGGAATACATTGCCAATATAAGGAAAAGAGTCTGATCTTGGCAGACTCTTTCTAATTGCCCTGCTGGTAGTCAGATAGGAAATCATTCCATTATAGATCAATAAAGGAAACATCGCCAGTGTAATTCAGAATATGGAAAAGAGATAGCTGTGGAAAGCTATTAGCAGCTAACGAGTATTTCTGATGTCAGCAAATTCTTGCAGGTTCCCAACAGTTGGAGCTTGTGCTTCTTGCAAACTAGTACCATCACATCACTGAAAACTGTGAACTTTTGGGAAAACATGAGTATTTTTCATTTGCTAAAGCTGAGAGCATGGCTTATGGGATCCGTTGGTATTATAACGTTTCTTCTGCTTCAGGCATCTCTGCCTCATGGGGAGCTTTGTACTCAAAGCCCGTAAATACTGAACGTGTCACTTCGAAGTGCTGCAGGACTAGACAAGTGCAGCAGGAGTTGTAATAATTCTAGCATAAAGGCTTGTGAGTCATTTTGAGCAATAACTTGGAGCAACAGAAGATGTTTGAAGACAGGCCAGAGGTCTGCTAGTAGCAGATGTGATCGTTTTTCTCATGTTCGGTCAGACGTGTTAAAGTTCTTAGCTGTTGTCTTCTGTGGTTGGACTCTATGTTCAGATATCTGAGATGGACCCAGGCCCTTCATTCAGCAATTCAATTCAAGGGAATGATGAGTGATTCCAGGCCATCTACTATGCAGGACTATGAGATCCTGGGTGTCTCTACAGTCAGTGGAACAAAGTAAGGCCATGTTCGTGCCGCCGACTCGAAGTATTCATCTGCAAGATCAGAACTGCATCTGCAGCAGAAGCCATGGTCTGGCACCCCCGGATACTTGTCAGGCTGAATCATTTCCTTAAAAGCCGGTGCCAGCTGCGTAACTGAGGCTACAACCCCACGTGCTCCAGGATGATACAGCTATGAGATGTGCACGGGTGGAATTTATCAGTGGCAAAAGTTGGAGGATATTTTTCAATGCCAATAGTAACAGAGGGAAAGCAGCCCCACATTACTACTGATGTAATCCACCAAAGGAAATGAAGACTTGACGTGTGCCCCTTTGCCTCAAGCCCACAAGAGAGACGTTTTTGTTTCCTGTTTGTCTTCTCCAGCCACCTGCCAATTAGACCACATAATAGTTTAAGATAACTGAACCAGAAGCCTGTAAAGTTTTCCCTTTACAGAATGCTATAATCACATTGTGCAATTTCAAATAAGGCAACACATTCTTTGAATTTGTGTAAAACACAGTGAAGAGTAGGGGAGAGCCTTACCTGATGGGGTGCACTCATACTGCAGCAGAAAATAAAGATAAACTTGATGGCACAAGTCGGAAGCAAAGAATTATGGAGCTTGGACTCCAGCTGGCTGCATAAGGGAACATTACTTTGTTCCTCCTACTTGGTGGCTCAAACCTTTTTGTTTTCACGTGACCACCAAAAATGAACATTAATGGCAAAAGGTCTGTTAAAGACAGAAAGCCAGACAGCGCCCAAGGATTGGAGTGGCAGCTAGGGGGGACCCAGCAAGACTTGCTCCCATGTGCACTTCTCTTTTCTTCCTCACCTTGTCTCACGGTTATGACCTTGTGAACCTCATAGGTCAGGATTTGCTTTTTCCTCTTGCTCCCTGCTCTGAAAAAAAAAGCTCTGTCAGAAGACCACTAAAATAACATTGAAAAGTGCTGGAACTGAATTGTTATTACACAGGGCCAAAGGGGAATGAGGCAAGGACCAGACTTTGAGTATCAACAAAATCAAGACACAGTCCCAATAATCCCGTCAGATCTTACTACAGCTTCTCAAGAATGGTCTTTCTGCCTTCCCAAGATGTGATTTTTCACCCTACCTATTTCTAAAGTACTCCCTTCCAAACCCCACGGTAGATGCATGACCAGAGCATTGCTAGTGGGCAGAGTTCTGAAAAGCATAATGGAAATATATTGCTTATAAAGTGCCACTCTTTTAAAACAGACATGAATTTACTGTTTTCTTTTTTCTCAAGCAACACTGGCAATTTACAAATGTTCCTGCACCTCATTGCTTATTATGAATGATTAAAATCTAAAAATAGCGACTTGTTACTTCTCTGAGGAAGAGAATTTTGTGTTTGAATTAATGGTTACAAATGCTGTTGAAATGTTGCCTCTCGCTTCTGTGGATTTATAGAGCAAGATGAGGATTATCCTCCCCCGTCAGGTAGATAGCCAGAGTTAAGGGAGCCACAGAGCACTGTGCTTTCTGACATCTCATATCGAGGCTGTGTCTCTGCTATTTGTACCTCTTGTTCTGCCTCCATTGGTATTCCAGAGAAAGGAAGTATAGAAGCAGATGTGGAAAAAAAGAATTTTGATCGAACAGTTAGATACTTGTGTGTAAATGCTATGTAGTAACTGAATTGCTTTCTCAGCTAACAGTTGTTGGTCAGTTCCCTGTATAATTTGATCCTCAGACAGGAGCACTTGATGGGGCTGACAAATAAAGAGCAAATGTAGAATTCTCTGTTCAGGCAGTTAAATGTGAACAGTGCTCAGGTAGTTATTTGCTGGAATTTGTGAGTGGTTTTGTATTGCTTAGAAATTGAACATTTGTCGCTTTTCTTGCACACAGTTTGTGAACAAGATGATTAGGTTAAAGCAATCACATACATTATTATAAAGTATTTGTGTAGCTTATGAAGAACGGTTTAGAATAAAGTGTGTGCAGAGGTGCCTGGCAAGAGAAAAACTACCAGAAATAATACTTAGGTGAAACAGCCTCCGTAACCGTGAGTTCCCAAAGTACGCAGCATACTTCTCAATTTCAAAGGGATTATTTGATTTTAAAAGGATTTCAAAACTAGTTTTGAATCTCACAGGACTCTTGCCTGCAAGTTCAAAGTGAAAAAGGGTTGAGAGGCATATAAATGATTTGTAGAATTGAATTTCAATGGTCAAAAGATGTCAGTGCTGTTTAGATAGATTTCCATTGCTTTGCGGGAGGGTAAAGTCAGTGCAGTGCAGAGATGTTGAGTGTCTTACCCTGAATCCCACCACAAATCAGTTGCAAACCTGAGGTTAAAGCCATTAACACAGATTTCAGCTTTCTTATACTTCCTGTGCTAGGAATCATAAAGGTAATGTTTATGTTGAACGTCATTTTTCTGTCTTTTGTACCACAGCAAAGAGCATCCCCAGTAACTCTCTGTGCTTTTGTTACTTCCAGAATTCGTCGCCTGTTCCACTACATCGTCAACCTGCGCTATTTCGAGATGGTCATCCTCATAGTCATAGCCCTCAGCAGCATCGCCCTGGCTGCAGAAGACCCTGTACAAGCTGAGTCGCCAAGGAATGATGTGAGTACTGACAACAGAGCCAGAATAAAGTTGAAGGAATCCATGTATCAGTGATGATCTGAAGGACCTACAACCTATTAAGGATCTTCCTGATCCTTATAGCTGTGCAATGAGTTTTAACAAAAGGATTTTATCACTCTCTTGCTCTCCCGATGTCTCTTAATAATACCATCATCAAATATTGCAGAAGAGAAACCCAGGACTTTTACACAAATGCTGGCAAAGAAGCTCTCTAGGAAAGGATATTCAAATATTTTCATTTGAAATTTAGCCATTTTTCCTTATACCTACCACGTGCACAGGTGTGCTGCAGCAACCCACACTCACACACACACACACACACACTGCATTCTGGCCAGGATTGGAAAGATTTTTTTTTTTTAATTTTAATTAGATCATTAAAGTTGGTGCCTAAACTGTCTGACAGCTTTGCCTGTGAGGAAGTTTATCCATTGACACTGTAGTAAATGGACCTTTGCTAGAATAGAGTTTTTACACTTTGTGATGATTATTTCTGTGTGTAGTCTCCTCTAAGACAATTTTATTTTTCCAATATAGGCCCTGAAATACTTGGATTATATATTCACGGGTGTCTTTACCTTTGAGATGGTGATTAAGGTAAGGATTTCTCCAAATAGGGCTGTACACAAGTCCATGCAGATTTACACTTACCTGTTTCTGGGAACCTGGGAAACGGCAGTGAACTGTGACGTAGATTCCTGGTGACCCTGGAGAACAGTTAATGATGCTTTAACTCGGGAACAGCACTCAAAAGTAGCTGTGATGCTTTTCTGCAGCATCTCTCTTGCTTTTTAGCATTTCTGATTTCATGGGGAAAATAAGGCAGTCTTAAGTAGCTATAGTGTGTAAGAGATTAAGGAATGTGAACGATGCCTGATGCAGAGATGCCTGTGCACACCTCGGGATGCAGAAGCAATGTCCTTGGAAAAAAGGACTGTGACGTGTGTCCTCTGCCCCATCCACCTCCCCGAGGTGCCGGGTCGGGGGCTCTGTGATGCCAACTGAGGTGTCCGTGGCCTTGGCCAGGGCTTTGAACCCGTCTGCAGGCAGGTGCCAGCTCAGCGCGCAGGACCGACCCCAGCTCAAGGACCTTACTGGGCAGCTCTCCTCCTCCCCTTCCCTATTGCTGATCAGGAGCATTAATAAGAGATTCTTGGTTTATTTTGTTTCAAAAAGCTTTGCAGCTGGTACATCCCTGGGCAGGGCAATAGACAGTGCTGAAACTGCAGCCTTGGTGTGACAGCGGAGTTAGTTTTGACTTTCAGAGCAAGATTCGAAAGAGGCATAATATTAAAAACAGAGTTTTCCCTCTTTTGTTCAATATAAAAAAGGTGAAACTATCTGAAAAAGGTTTATATGGATAATTGCAGAGCTCTTTAGAAGATCTCTAGCAGCGTGGCAACATTGTGAGGAGACGGTCACATACAGAATTCAGCACTGCTGCTGCTCTGTGCAGCATCTGTCCACAGGGGTTCAAAGTGTTTTTCTCTTTTTTTTTTTTTTTTTAATTTCTGACAGTTGCATTTGATTGTGGTTCTTCTCTCTCTCTCTCGTTCTCTTTTTTCATTTCCTCACTTTTATTCTGTCATATTCTCTTCTGATTATTAATTCCTACTTTTTTTTTGGATCAGGGTAGAATAAAACTAGGCTGTTTCACACACACACAGGTTCCCAGAAGTTAACGTGTGTAAAGATTCCCGTATAGCAGTTAACATTTTTGTCTGTGAGGGCTTTGGTTACAGCGTACTCACTTCAGCTTTGGTTTTGACCAAGCTCTTTGTGCCCATGAGAGACAGATAGTTTGATTAAGGATGACTAGCTGTTGCTCTGCTGTAAGTTATTATAACGAAGGCTTTGCTTTGGCTGATGGCAGCTTTCTGAGGAACACCACAGTCAGTGCACGTAAGCTGAACAATGAGCCAGTATTGCTGACAAGTATTGAGGAGAAGGCTAAAAGGAGGAAAAGATGCCTCATTCCCAAAATACCATCGGGTTTAGTGTGATGTAATGGAATGGTTCTCCTCTGATAGTAAAAACCAGGATTTGAAATATGAGGAGACGTTGTAGGCGTGATTGAAACTATGAAGAGCATTTTCAAAGCTTTGCGTGGGGCCTCTGCGAGCTTCTGCCTACCCTGAGGCTGACTCGTGCCGATATTATCTGCTTCAGAAGACCTAAGTCCCACCTTGAGCAACAGAAACAAACCTCCCTTTCCCCTGCTGAGTCCTGTCACCAGCAAAATCAATATTGATCGTGAAAGGTCATTTGATCAAGGACACTCCTCTGTTGTATCTCAGCAGAGTTTGTGTGTATTGTTTTCTTAAAATTTCTTGTTTTGATGTGTTTCCTCCAAAGATGATTGACTTGGGGTTGCTGCTCCACCCTGGCTCTTACTTCCGTGATCTGTGGAATATCCTGGACTTCATTGTGGTCAGTGGAGCCTTGGTGGCATTTGCCTTCTCGTAAGTACATTCTTATTAAAATCCACATTTCTAGGAATATGCTGCAGAGATGGGCAGGACCCTAGTGTAGAGCTAGTTAAAGCACAGAATTTGTAGTTCTATTTCTCAGCGAATGTTCAGTTTGCACCTTTGAAAACCTCAAAGCTAGGGGAGGAAAAGCCCTTAATTGTGTTGTGGAGTCTCTTGAAAATTCTCCCAATTTTATGGTATGTCCATTCTCTGTTCTTTCAAGTATGAGTCATGATTTTTGTGACTGGCTGGCCAGCTCTTCTTGCAAGGACTGATTGTAACACATCCTGGTAGTTGTCCGGGATTTTTTTTTTTTTTAAGTTTTTCTTGTTATGAAAAAATAGCTGAGATCAGATGAGATATCAGTGAAATCTTTGCTAAACATTATTTTTTCAAGTCTTCCTGGAATATATGCCTTTTGCATTTTTCTCTTGTATTCTTCTCTCATTCAGGGAATGCCACTTCCTATGCTTAGCTGTTCCCTTTCTCAAATCACTGCTGTTGTATTTGACATTAAATAATGTTATGTGTGCTCCTTTAATGTCAGACAGGATTTTGAGCAACAGACACTGAATTGTTTTAAAAAGTGAAGGTTAGTTTTCAGTTGAGTATTTTTCTTGGAACAGACTGTGGGAAGAGTAACACAGGCTCTTCAGAACTTGGGGAGCTCAAGTGGGATTCTGGGAAGAAATTTTCCTCTTGTAGTTCTGGGCAACTGCTAACACTTTCCAACTGCCTGGGACATTCTGGGAATTGACCTGGAGGCAGATTAGAGGATGTGGCCAGTTTAATCTTCTGATAAATTAGCCTTGAAAAATTGCAGTGAACATTTAGGATTTCTTGCCCCCAAATTCACTCACCTGTTTGCTGACATGATGATTAATGAAGGTGAAGAAATTAACAACATTTTATCTGCTAATGAGAAAATGCATTCACCTGGCAAGGAAGGGTGAAGATGTATTTTGTATATTTTTAGACCAACAGTAATTTTTAGGCAGACAGTCACAGCTTTGGCTCCTCTTATGTGACTGTGCATCACTCTGCTGATGGAAAATGCTTTTGAGTCCCTGGAAGCCTAAACAGTGAGTGGATCTTTCATCTGAGAAAGTTGCCCTGGAATGTTTCTCACAAGTTTGTCGTCTTCCAAGACGTCAAATTCCTTCCCCATTACTGCTGAGAGGTCTGTGTTTTGGATCTTTGAGTCTTCTTTATAGCAAACGCTGGATAGAAAGCATCTAAGATTGGCACTGCTGGTATGATGTTTGAACCAATGGATGAGTAGCACTTTTGCCCCTTTTTCCAATGAAGAGGCATTAACGATGGAATGGAGGAAATGGTCATTAAATCATTTAAGTGACTTCTTTAATCCTATGCCTGTACTTTGAATCAGCTATCACCAGAGCCTTCCTGTGAATGGTTTAGATGATCAAGCTGCATCTTTTGCTCTCCTCCAGAGGAGGTGATGATTTTTTGAACAGAGGTATTTGAGTCTAGGCTTTCGGTACCCAACCATGCCCTGTAGAACTGTTTTTATCTTGGAGCAAATCACGTCCAATACACAATTTTTTTTTCAAAGGAGCCTTTCCTCTGTCTTTTGGAGACTTTGCCACCCTGTATTACAAATTTGTTTTTCAGAAGAGCTGGGTGCTGCCTTGTAGGCAGAGCCATTTTGCAAGGGAAGAACCAAGTGGTTTTGGTTAATGTCTTGCTTTCCAAAATTGCACCTCAGAAAACAGAGCCTGTTTTTTAAGCTTGACTAGACATGTGTGCAGCTCAGTGTCCTTGTGTATGAAGGATATTACCATAACATCTCTAAGATCCAAATGGGGTAAGACTGAGTTAAGATGACCTGAGCTCTGTAGAATTGGAGATATTAAAGTAAAATAATGCTAGCACAAGTATTACTTTTCAAAGCGATATCACCTCACATCTGTGGTTCACTCTGAATTTCCCAACCCCTTTCCATTAGGAATTCAGACCATGAAGGCAGGCAGACAGGGCCAAGGGGTATTGAGTCAGCCATTCAGAACTGCCCTGTGTGCTGGGAGAGCAAGCACCAGGGCACGTCTTTAAAGTGGCTTATCCTTGAACAAGGATTTCTTTTGGACAAGTTATTGATTAAAAGGAAAGATTTCTGCTCTTTCTTAGTCTTTTTTGTGCTCAGGATTTCCACTGCTCACACTGGGTCATGACAGCACCTTGTCAGCCTCTCTCTGAATTACTTGTACCTCCCCTGACTTGCTTCACAATAGTGTGCCCCAAGCTGCTCCTATTTTACATGCTCTTTGAGTAAGTACTGAGCAGAGATTTATGGAAAATGAGTGAGCAAAACCTGCCTATTTACTCTCTCCCAGATTAAAAGTGAGTCAAACTTATTTCTGAGGCTTGGAATAATTTGAATTTAGATCCTGTGACTGTAATCTCTGCAATGTGTCTGTATTTCATCTGGCAGTGTGAGTATGTGGTGTGAGTGCAGAGCCTCCTTGCAGTATCTGGGCTGAAATGGAAGCAGGAAATCCAGTCATTCGTACGAGATGACTTGCTCCCCGTGCCCATGAGTGCCCTTCTCAACACGCAAAGCCTCAGACTGCTCAGATGAAATTTAGACAGGCAAGTCCTTCAGCCCAGCTGTGCTGTTTGGACCCACTGAGCCTGTTTGATATCCTGCAAATGAACTTTTGGTGAAAGAGCTCACTAATCTTTGTTTTGTTGGTGGGATTTTTGCTAGCAAATGCTAGAGTCATGTCACTCATCATCAGTGTCACTGTAAAAATGTATTTAGTGTGGCTGTTGCCAATATCTGTTTGCAAGAATGCAACCTGTGTGACTTAATTCACTGTCTGAATGTTCTTGACCTCCCCAGTAAAGGTGATCCAAATTCATTTCTTGCTGAATAGACACATCACTGAAAAGCAGAAAAACAGAGCTCTCTGAAGTGCTGGCTACAGTCTGTGTTTGTTTATGCAGATGATAGCATAAGTTGTTGCTGCAAGGTACATGAAATTCATCTCAACCTTCCAAATTGGATACCAATTTTCTCCCTGCCTGTAACATTTCAGAAGGAGAAAACATTTTGGAAAAAAAAATAACATTTTAAAAGCAACATTCCAAATGATGTGCTAGAAAGATTAGTATTATTTATAACAATAATAAAATTACGTCTTCCATGTGGCAGTGTATTTCAACGTGAAATACCTTTCTTTTCCTAGAGATAGATAAACATGCCACAGACACACAGACTTGTTTTAGTCTTTAGGGAATTGGAAATAAAGAAGCTTAAGGTAAACTAGTAAATTTGTCATCAAAATTTACCAGTTCCAAGCATAAAATCTGCTTACATGGTAGAAATAGCTGACAGATAGGAGTAGAGAGAAATTTCATTTTTACATTTTTCAACAACAGAAAAGTAGCTGAGATGCATGGAATTTTGCACCACTATTTGAAAAATCTGTGATTCTATTAGCATTTGCCAAACAACAGAAGTTCTTTGCCTCCCACAGTGTCAGTAGGGTGAAAGTGTATTTGCACCATGTACTGGTCAGTGAAAGGGCGAGTGCAGCATTGGGACACGTGTGGGTATATGCTGAACGACTGCTTTCTTGCTGTTTTATTTTATGCACATTGAATTGGTGGGTGCGGGACGGGATGGGATTTTTTGCCAGCACGTAAGTGTAAGTGCATGGGGTGCACTGTATAGCCTGATGTTTCTGTTTGTCATTGACTTTGCTCTTTCTTTGTCTTCTTCTTGCTGGAATCTCTCTAGGAGTTTCATGGGGTAATACGTTATTCCTGTCTCTCACTGCACTGTTTTGCCTGTCAAATGTGTGTATACACACTTGCCACTGTGGAAATGATCCATGTTCCACCCATTGCATCGACTCCTTTGTCCCTTTATTACCCATTATTCAGTGAATTGTATTTTCCCTTGACAGTTCTCATCCATCCCAACTTTCTTTAGCCAGAGGAGAGAAGCAGACGAGAAAGCCAGTTGGCCATTGCTGTACTTGACTGAAAATCAGACCCTGAGATAGACAGATATATCCGTATCAAAAAAGTTTTGGGGAATAACTTAGGCAGCAAATCCTTAATGTGTAAGTTGCAATTCTCAGAAAAGCTCAGTTTAGGGTTAAAGTAGGAATTTTATTCTCTGCAATTCTGCTGGGCTTCCCTGGCAATGTGAACAGCAGTGCAATGAGAGGGACTGAAAGGTCTTTGTGGCCCACCAAACCGGGGGCTTGTCCTTGTCTTCCAGGCCCTTTGGGCGCTGCTAGAGGGTAGCGCGGCGCTCGGTGACCTCCTTTGCACGAGATGGAGGAATCCGCGTCCTGCCTTGGCACTGCAGGTGCCGTGGGAGGCTGCGGCTCCGCCCTGCTCTGAATATTTGATGGACTCCCTCTCCGAGGCCCATGGATGTGAAATCAGAGCTGCTGGCAGGAGAAACAGAAACGAGAAGCTTCCGTTTTAAAAAACTATTAATTTTTTAAAGGATTACTTATTTATTAGAGGGGAAAAGGCCAAACAAAGCTCTTTTAAATTTTTGTTTTGTATTGAATAAATGAGCAGCAAACTGCCCCAGGAAAAACAGAACTGGTCTAATGCAAGCAGAATTAACCTAATGCAATTTTTCTATTTTCCTTGTTTTTTTTTTTTGTTTTGTTTTGTTTTATTTTCCTTCAGTCTCAAGGCTTCTGTTTGCCATCTGTCTTTATCCTGCTTGTTCTCCTATAGCTCTTCTGAATTTTTTTGTTATTCTGCAGTTCAGCTAAGAATTTTCTTCCATACCAATTTATTTTTGTGGTGAGAAATATGCAGTTAGGACTATCAAATGTGTACTCACATACAACTTTGATTGAATCCTAGTCTATTTCAGCCTCCTATTTTGGGACATTTAGCTTTATACTTGAGTAGCATAAAAGAGAAGGGGAATGAGTGGGCCTCTTCAAAAACCTAATTTGTATAGGTTTTTAATTACACGTTGTGAAAGGTGTATTTAAGCAAAATTCATCATGCTTTGCTCTAGTTCTTAGTACCAATCCTTTGAAAAAGCTTTCTCCTACAGCAAGAATCTGTGAGAATAAATATGTATGATTTTTAAAATTCTCTATATAATTTAGACCATAAAGTCCATTAATTTTTAATCAGCTTGTGCCCTTTATTTGCTTAGGTGCTTGCAAGGAAAAAAATCAACTCTTGGTATCCTTCTTTCAGCCAGAAGGAATTTTAAGGACTGGAGCTCTCTTCCCTTTGGTTTGATGCTCCCCATGCAGTCATCTGCATCCATTTCTGTGCAAGAGAAGAGCAGCGCCTTCTTTCATGCACCCAGGAAAGAAGATTTTCCCTGCCCTGTCTGTTCCCTGACCCCAGTAATGGGCCTGTTTGACCTTCCTGCAAATATGAAGTCCATTGAGGTTATTGCCTCGGGTTTGGAGCCAGCCCTGTAAGACCCAAGGAAGCTCCTTCAGAGCTGGGAAGTTCCTCTGTTCCCCTCTCTGGAGTTTTGCTTCCCACAGGCCCTATTAGTGCAATTGTTATTTAGCAGAAAGACATGGCAGCATGCTAAATAAGTGTTTAGATCTTCTGGAATAAGGACTACCGGAAGGTCCAAGGCAGAAATATTCTGTGGTTCTGCCCGAAACCAGATTTTCCCTTCTTTTTCCGTTGCTGTTTCCTTGCTGTTTTCCTTCCCCACAGACTCAACAAGTGGCCCAGCATTCCATGGTTTCCAACCAGGACATTTGTAAGGAGGAAGAATAGGCGTTGCTTGGGACTGCCAGTCTGGCCAACCCTGCTTGAGGTGCCAGGGAGATGGTGACGGTGACTGTAGCAGGGTCTTTGCTTGCTTGGAGTCAGTGACGTGAGAGCAAGTGCACAAAGGCAAACGTGGCTGCATCTTCAGTTATACCAAGACCTAAAGCCAGAGGCAGGAGGAGATACACTTGCTGGGTCTCCACCCTCTGAAAGGGTTTTTAATGGAAATTGAAAATTATTTCTTTTGAACAGATAACAGCTCTTCTGCAGCATTAATTCAATCCTGAGAACGTCTGGGCTGATTTAGCATATTATGTACCAACAGCAAAGGTCATCCGTGACACTGGATGCGTGAGGCCAGGCAGACCCTGCTCTCGCTGCTCCCACATACCCTGCTCAGAGCAGCGCAGGCCGCCGGCGCTGACGGTGTCCGTCTCCGCGGGGTGCCTCGGGGCTGCTGCCTGCTGCTTTTCCTGCTGCTGGGTGAAGCCCTGCGCTCCTCACGGGAGCCAGCCCTGCGGGGCAGCGCTGCGCTCCTGCCGATGGCTCCCATCGGCCTCCCGGCGCGTTGCTTTTCCAGAGGCGCCAAGGTGAATGCTCCACGGCTGCAGCCTGAGCTACAAGTTGAGCCATTTTGTCCGGCTTGTTAAATGTTAGTCTCCTGTAAGAAAGAAGGATCAGACTCCTCACCCTCCTGGCAGACTGGCGTGATTTTTGTCTCAGCCCATAGCAGAAGCAGCGTGAGGCCTAGAATATCTTCAGACTGGATTTTATGCACTTAGATCTTCACTGGCAGCTTTGTTGACAGGTAGGGAACTCTGTTCTACCTGTAGTCATTTGTCATGAGAAGCAGCCACTATAGTTAGTGTTGAATATGAAGCCAAAGGGCCTTGAGGATTAAGTATGTTCTTTCCCTCTGGAAAGCTTGCATTTGAGTCCACTAGAAGCAGGAGGAGAGACTCTCCCATCTTGTTCAGTCGCATCTAGGTCAGTCAGCTGCCAAGGGAGGGCTCTTCCCTGCCCTTTAGGTGCCCGTCCTTCATACAGGGCTGCCTGACTACTAGGGAGCAGGAGGAGCATCTGCTGTCTGTGCATGTCTTTGGTATCTCTAGGATCGTGGTTTTTATTGCTTTCCTTATGGAAAGATGAATCTTATTTAGCAAACTGGAGGAGGGTAGAGGAGATATTTCAGCATCCGCTCAACATACGATTCATTCATTCATATGTCTGTTACTTCAGTTCAGCCCCAGACCCCAGCCGGTAGTCATGAATAAAAATCTGTGAAAGGTTTTCATCTCATTTTTCACCTCATACTAAATGAAGAGGAATGCCATTGTTTTGCTGTTGGGTTGAAAGAAGATGTAACGGTGCCTTCGAGGAAAAAAAAGTAATTTTTGTTTGTTTTGGAAGTGCACTTGGAAAGAAACTCTAACCTTCCCCTTTAACCTCATGATGGTAACAAGAGGAATGGTCTCACGCCTTGCACGTAGTTGTCACAAAAACTGAAAGTAAAATGTGTCTGAGGGTCTGCATGTGTAACTGGAAAGATGCACTAGTTCTGTTTCAGGCATGTAATATGCCTCATATTACATGGTCCTGCATGGGTTTGGTGGCATGCCTTCTGGCAGAGGCCTGAGGGTGATGGTGTGGGTGCAAAGGGTAGAAATGGAAAGCTGGCCTTGCCGGAGGAAGAGGGCTTTCCCTTCACCCGTGGAAGGGCCTCTTCTTCCGAGTCACCGCCTGCTTTTCTAGACACAACCTCCATGCCTGAGGAGGGCACGAAGCACCCAGAGAAACATTGGTTGGGATGAACAGGCCATGGCTCTTGCCCTCACAGCTGTGGCTGATGTGTTTTTACCCCAGCTATGATTATTGTCTGGGTGAGAACTTGGGGGAGGAAGGTCATTAGCACCTTGTGGCCCGTTGGGAATAGCTGGGAAGGGAACCGAGGCTGCAGTGCACAGGCAGAGCTGCAGGCCTCGCACATGCTGCGTGCGTCCCTGGTGAGGTGTCACCCCAGGCCCGCTACAACCGTGGGTGTCTGTAGGCATCTTAGTGAGCGACCTGAGAACCCAGCAATTCCCTCTGTTCTTGTGCCTTTTCCCCCTTGCAGAGGAACCAAAGGCAAGGACATCAACACAATCAAGTCACTGCGAGTACTGCGGGTCCTGAGACCATTGAAGACTATTAAACGGCTGCCAAAACTAAAGGTTAGAGACTAACCACAAACGTTGCCTTCTCTGGAGATTTGCAACTGACCTGGGTGGGAGAGTGGGAGCTGACTTGAGTAAGCTCAGTCCAAGCTATTTCTGTTCCTTTTGTTTTGTTGCAATTAATCTCTTTGCCAGACTTATAAAAATAGTTGTGCAGATGTTTAGAAAATGTCAAATGCGTTTTTGACAAGCATTGTATGCAATTTTATGAATACTTGTGAATAAACATTAAAATCAAACTTCTAAAAAAAGAAAAGAAAAAATCTGCATATAAATTAAATTAGAGGATATAAATGTGATACCCTTAAAATGATACATGAAAAAATAGATTTTGGATTGTTTGACTTTCACTCCAGAGCTTAATATGAATATTGCAAGATTTTCCACACACCGTCTAAAGAAAAATGTTATTACTCTATGAGAAATTTTGATCTGCTCATCTTTTCTATTAAAGAACATATACTGCAGGGTTTTATAGCAATACCCTTTCATCTCTAAAATACCAATTGTAAAGTAAAATAAATGTAATGGCCTGTGGTTACTTATTCAATACCAATTCTAAAATTCTTTGAGATGCATCTAGTCCCTGGATGTAGAAAGTGGAAGAAGTTACAGAATTAAATCTTGGAGTTTTGGGAACTGTGAGTTCTTGTAGAATGTCTTCATGTAACAGTAGAGTTTTCAGACTGTTTTCTATGTATGTGAGATGGCAGGGGAAAAATGGGTGCTTTTGCCTCAGTGAAACTTTGTCAAATTCTTGTTTTCACATAGGGTAATGCAAAAATCAGTCAACTATTATTAAGATTGGATTTGTCCCTGCTTGTAACTCATGTAATTTTCTTTCCATGCATCTTCCTGTGCACTAAAGTCATGACAAAAGATAAGGAAGAATAAGATTGAACAATGTAGAAAAAAATGTCTTTATTGTTTAGAAATTTGAAATGTATAGTTCTTTGCTTGCAAAATCATCAATAGTAGCTCTATCATATTGCAGAATGCAGAACATTTGCTTTTTATTGAATGTATTCTCTTTTTTGAGCTATTTTACAGAATTATTTTACCGTTTCTAAAGGAGTATTCAGAAATCTCCTTATGAAGTGGAAGTCATTCACATGGTCTTTCTTCAAAATCCATCTTATTTTTTTCCTGATTTTTTTTGTGTGTGCAACAAACTGCAAGATTAATAGGGTGATTAGAGAAATTTCTGGTGTTTAATTCAGGATTTCTGGTTTACATCAGGAATCTAATTCTGTGACTTATTCACTTCCATTCAGAGAAACAGAAACAACATTGTTCAGTCAGTAATACCGCTCAAATTTCTAATATGACAAACTTCTCAGGTTAAAATTAAATTGCAAATTGCTTGTAACAGTGAATACTGGTAACTAAATAATAAATGTATTTGAGAAGTCAGTTGTAGACAGTTCACTAGTGACATATGCTGACTTTATTATTTGCAGTTAATTTTGATAGACAATTAGAAAAATAATGTTCAAAGCATTTGCTTGTTTTGTATCTGGTATTTTTCATTATTATTCAACAAGTTCAAATAATATTCAATGAGTAATATATTTGATGAGGTTTTACCCTATCCAGTATGGATAAATTAAACACAAGTAGGTTTTTCCTTCAATCAGTCGGCCATGAAAGTATTTGCTTAGATAACCCTTATCTAGAAAAGTGGCAATCGTCTTTGCAAATTTTGTGGGCACAAAATTCAATGAATTCAGTGGTACAAACATAGAATCATAGAATGCTTAGGGTTGGAAGGGACCTCTAGAGATCATCTAGTCCAACCCCCCTGCACACGCAGGGTCACCTAAAGCATGTGGCACAGGACTGCGTCCAAGCGGGTTTTGAAGATCTCCAGAGAAGGAGATGCATGAGAAAGCTTGAAGCTGTGGCAACCCAGAGTTATTTCTCACAACTGGGATATGTAGAAATGCTTGGTGTGCAAGTTGAAGACCCTGTGCACCGGCAGTAAGTTGGGCAGTTGCTGCCAAGGGTAGTTAGGTGCTGGGCACCCAGGTCGTGTGTGCAGGCAAGTTCCTTTCCTCCTGAAGCCTCAGCCCTTCTCTCTGTGTTTCCCTCTTGTTCACAGGCCGTATTTGACTGCGTGGTCAATTCCCTGAAGAACGTCCTCAATATCCTGATAGTTTACATGCTGTTTATGTTCATTTTTGCTGTCATTGCTGTGCAGCTCTTCAAAGGCAGGTTCTTCTATTGCACTGATGAGTCGAAGGAGCTGGAAAAGGACTGCAGGTACTACCACGGTGGGAATTCTGCTTTCCTTTTCTAGTAGTTGCTCACCTGACCAGCCCAATGTTGTTTCATTAGGATATCTGCTGAGTTTGAGTCTCCAGTAAGTAAGAGCATTGCTTCAGCAGAATTACCCTAGATGTGAATTTTCCATTTTGTTGCTTTAATGGTTTAATCATTCGTGGCCGCAGTCTAGCAAATGCTTACTCAAATGCTTAATGATACAGGAGAACAGTTTCTATTTCTTAAGCAGGGCTTATTGTGTGTTGGAGATTGAGCACGGGATGTGTTTTTGAAGGGGTGGATGACTTCTCTTTATACCTGCTGCCTTGATTGTTTTAAAGCTCATGTGAATTAGAAAAGTAGAATGAATAAATTAAGAACAAATCAGTAGGAGGTTAAAGAACTCCTAATTAGCTACAGAAGGGAACAATGTCTGAATACCTTAAAAACCCCACCATGCCCAGTTGCTGGATTGCTTTGTCCTGTTCAGCTGCCTGTCAGGTGTTTTATCCAATGCAACATGTGTCATTCCCTGCTTGCCTTTTTCCTTGGCATCCCAGTGGCAGACCTCAGTGCTGTTAAGGACTTGGCTGCCTCAGCAGACCCTCTTCTGCCAGACCTACAAGTAGTGATGACAGGTCTCACTGCAGTTTTTCTGCACATTTTTTTTTACAGAAAGAAACATGAAATTATTGATTAATTTAAGTTGGAAGAGACCTGTCTCCCACCTTCTCCCTTTCATGACCTGTTTTGAAGTTAGATCCAACTCCAGCAAGTATGATCCAGAAAACTTTCTCCATCAAACTGCATTTTTTTTTTGTTAGGTCAGACAGCTTGAGGGCTACCATACTGTTAGTGACCAACTTTGCCTAATGAATGAATATCTTGATAAAAAGTTCTTTCATGCCTAGACCTGACATACAATTCCTGTGGCTCCTCTAGCCTTTATTTATGTTATAAACCTATGAGCTACAATTTGTGCAAGATGGAGCACAGTCAAAGTCAGGTCTGTTACAGGAGCTTCAAGATGTTTCTTCATGAATAATGGTAAATAGCTCTCTTGCTTGATCTGAATCTCTGTTATTCCTAGGGGTCAGTACCTCGATTATGAAAAAGATGAAGTGGAGGCGCAGCCCAGGGAATGGAAAAAATACGAGTTCCACTATGACAACGTGCTCTGGGCTCTGCTAACGCTTTTCACAGTCTCCACAGGAGAAGGGTGGCCCACGTGAGTACCCTGGATGGATAGGGTCAGTAATTGAACTCAGCGGTAGTGGTACTTTGCACAGCAGCCAGGGACAGGTAAACGATGGGTTACCTGTGAGGAAAGGACAGAGGCTTTTATCAGCTAAGCTTCTGCTGTCCCTTGTGTGATTATAGGGTGAATCAGTGGGCAGGACAGTGCATTTTTCTCAGCCTTCCTCTGAGCTTGCACAGCGTGATGCTCAGGCAGTTTTCAGTACTTAATAGCCTTCTTGCTCCTGTCTTTTGGACTCTCACTACTTTAGATATAAAACTGATAATGTTAATGTAAGAAAACAAGGAAAAAAGTATTGTGACCTATGCTGAAAGTATGCTAGGCATTTGAGCCCAAAATTGTATTTACTGTTCAGCATAAGACTTTATTTTGGCTGTTTTTTTGGCTACAACCCACAATTAGGATTCATGGTCAGTGATTACTACATGGCAGACCTTTCCTATCCTCCATGTTCAGGTTCTTACTAAAATAAAAATTAAAACTGGTAATGTCAGTCTTCCTCCTCCAGTCCCTCAGTGTTTCCTGGACTACTCAGAGACCATTTGCACCTTTCTTTTTTACACTTTTATTTCATCCACATCGATCAGAGAAGAAGAGAAGCCAGATCTAATTATATCCTCTCTCTTTCACTTGACCAGAATGGATATGTGGATCTGTATGTAGCAAATCTGCATCATTCTGCAGACTGGTGAAAAGGGAAAGGGTTTTCCTAAATACATGCCCAAGCAAAACTTCTTCCCAGCCACAGAGAGGGGATTGAGTTTGACCTGAGTATGTGTGGAAAACCATCCCCATGGGTGAAGGCCAGTGAGTGACTATCAGGGTGTCATTGGTACTTCACACTGATCTCATTGACTTTTCTTCTCTCTTTGCGCTTGGTTGCAGTGTGCTGAAGCACTCAGTGGATGCTACCTATGAGGAACAGGGTCCCAGCCCTGGCTACCGAATGGAAATGTCTATCTTTTACGTGGTGTATTTTGTTGTCTTCCCTTTTTTCTTTGTGAACATCTTTGTGGCGTTAATCATCATCACCTTCCAAGAGCAAGGAGATAAAGTGATGTCAGAATGCAGCCTAGAGAAAAATGAGGTACCCAAGTCTTCTGGATTTAGCAGCCATGGGAGTTAGTGTCTGGGGGTTCAGACCACTTTGATACTGGTGCAATTGTACTCATCCCTCCAGGGCCACAACATACTGTAGAGCAATCATTATCCGAGGGGGACACTAAAATACTGTGTTACCACTGGGTGTGTGGCAAGACAGATTGAAGGTGAAACTTAAAGCAATTTAGAGACCAAAGCAATCCCAGACTACTTCACCTTTGGCAGAGAAATGAAACCAGGGAGACTCCCTCAATGCTGAACTTCAGCTAAGCACTTTCACATATTGCTGTGAACTGCACCTCTACTTCAAAATGAAGATAATGTTGCATTTTAGCTCAAGCATGTACGTGTGAAAGAAAGACTGGAAAGGTTGGGTGCTTTTAGTGACCAGTCATCAGAAATAAAAATGGAATACAATTGTTTCTGACAGCTCCACTAACTAGGTTATCTTAGTGCCCGTCTAACCCAGTGTCCTCCTGAGAGCCGCACAAGTAGATGTTTTGGGAAGGGTGTAAGAACAAGGCAAGCATGAATGATGCTTTCCTTTGATACTCTGCAAACGCTGTCATTTTCAGCTCAGTAACATTCTGAGTTGGATATGGTTGCTCTGTAGTTAGTAACCATCTGTGTATCTTTCTTCCACGGATGTGTCCAGTTTCCTCTGGAATACATGTAGATTTTTAGCATCCACCACATCCTTTGTCCAGGGGTCCATAGCTTCAACTACCTCCTATGTGAGAACCATCTCTTTTCATTTATTTTGAAACTGGAACATGACTTTTGATTAAAAGAGATGGCTTTTTAATCAGTGATTCATTAGTGCATTGTTTGTCCAAAATCAAAGTTGAATGTTTGGAGATAATTTATCCACTTTGGTTACTGAGGAAAAAGAAAAAAAAAAGAAAAAAAAAAAAAAACTTGAGATTTGCAGTAGGAAAAACTTGGAGGTTTTGACTTCTTATTTCCAAGAAGAGATGAGATCTCTTCTCAATCCAAGATGAGAAAATGTTTCAGAATCAGAACCTCTTATGGGTAGAAACCACTTTTCTATGCACCTTTCTACCCATAATAATGTGAACAAAAATTACCAAATAAGGGTGTCTTTGGGAGTTACTCAGCAATATTTGTTGGATAATTTATCAGATGAGTTCAATTCACATTTCACTGAAGTTGTTAGCTGGACCGTTTTTGCTGTGTGAAACTTCTGTGCTTTCACACAATACTTTTTAAGCACACTTTTACTAGTTCTCCACTTCCAGTTTACAGAATTACCTACCAGGATGAATGTGCAGAGTGTATTCTGAAGTAAGCCTGTGGATTTAACACTCACTTTCCTAGATAGGAAGGGATCAGGACCTACCAGGAGCAGGACTGTGATGAAAGGCTGTCTCAGGACCGCAGGGGATCATAGGAGTCCAGTGTGGTTGGATGTTTCAAAGAGCATCCAAAAGTAACCACACTTTGGGGATCATACTCTATATTCTACAGGACCAGTGCTTGCTTTGTGTGAGAAAAACCCTTAGAAATAATATCCTCTGCTAAATGCTTCCCCTATTCTCCCAGCAATATCCTGACTGATAGATGATGCCAGCCCCTTTTTTTGTGTTCTTTCCACCTTTTTGTTTTGTAGAGGGCCTGCATAGACTTTGCCATAAGTGCCAAGCCACTGACCCGCTACATGCCTCAGAACAAGCAATCTTTTCAATACAAGATGTGGAAATTTGTGGTGTCCCCTCCCTTTGAGTATTTTATCATGGTCATGATTGCACTCAATACTATTGTTCTGATGATGAAGGTTAGTGGGCTGTTACTTACCCTTTGTACCTTTGGGCTAGCAAATGTGGTGTTTGTTGTGAAGGCTTTGTACTCCCCACCTGAGAGCGGGGGGACCGAGAACAACAACTGCCCTAGTCTTATTAATGTCACTTTTAGAGCCCTTGAGGGATTCCTCTGGTCCCCACAGGCAGGGGACCAGTTCTGCACTTAGTTGTGCAGAAATACTCTGAATTTGCTTGTGCTTCCTTCAGCTTGTTGCCAGCAAGACTGAAACTCAGTGCCCTAAAAGTCGGGAGCTTCACTGCTTGGGGATCTGGAACGTGTTTGATAGCGGCCGAAAGGAAGAGATGGAGATGGCTGGATATTGTGGATGAGCTCTCATGGTCTCCCATGCCTAACTCAGAGTATCTTTACAGTCACTGGACCACCATACTCCTAGGGTTTGCTGGCACACAGCACAGTAACACAGTTCTGCCCTTGTCCTCAGCCCTTCCTTCCTCCTGGTCCACTTTGTCCTTGCAGGGTGATGGGTACCAGCAAGTCTCCCAGTGCTAGAGGAATTCCCAAATGCCCAGTTTGGATAACTTGTGGACAAAGGTGTGCCTCTGGAATGTCATGGGTAGTCATGTTGTAAACCAAAGTCTTGCTTAAAGTGAGCACAGAATGCATCACTAAAATGAGCAGGAGTCTTGCAGTCAGGCAAGTCATCTGGGAACATGTTATTCTGTCATCATAAGTGACCCTCCAGTAACAGTCTTTCTTTCATCCTGTTTTAGTTCTATGATGCTCCAGAAGCATATGAAGAAATGTTGAAATGCCTGAATATTGTGTTTACATCTATGTTTTCAATGGAATGTGTGCTGAAGATCATTGCCTTTGGTGTGCTGGTATGTTCCTTCCTCATTTACTTTCAACTGTTTTCCCTTTACATGAAATACTTGTATTTTGTGATGCACTTTTTAAAAGAAGCAAACAAAAATATTGCTTTGCATAAAGAAAATAACTTCTGGATCCCTCTGTCTCCCTTGTGTTTTCATTTGGCAGAATTATTTCCGAGATGCCTGGAATATCTTTGATTTTGTAACAGTATTGGGAAGTATTACTGATATTTTAGTAACAGAGATTGCGGTAAGTACAGTTTGCTCATTTGTTTCATTTACCAACCAAGCTGTACCCTGTCAAGACACTGCACCTTCTCCCCGTCAGCCTTATTCCCTGCGGTCATCCCTGGGACTCACTGTGTGATGATGTCATTGGGTGGCCCAGCAACCCGTTCCCACTAGCTCTGCTCTTTCCACAGATCTGAGCGCTGCTGCCTGCCCTAAAGGCAGCAGTGCAAAAAGCTCTGATGAGAGTGACAGTGCTAGCAACTCTGCCAGGAAATAGTCTCTCTCATTCAGCAAACAGCCTTAACCCTGAGTCAGTTTTTTGCCCGTTTATGGAAAAATGTTGTTGAATTTAATAAAGAGAAAATATCAAGAGGGCCATGATGGAAATTGCTCTTTTATAGTTTGAGTTTCTCCACAGAGCACACACAGGTATCGTCTCTGTCCCTTGGAGATCAGAGCTTATCTCGATTATGGGCTAAAGGGCGGAGGTGAGAAGAGGAGTGTGAAGAGGGGAGAGGAGCAGTAGTTGCATCTGGAAGTCACCAGCGTGCACGGTCCTGAGTGGGGGATCACAGTACTGCTCTGTTACTGCACAACAGAACAGATAGACTTGCCAAAGGATACCCTGTTCAGCCTTAAAAGGCCAGCTCTATCCCTGCTAATGAATTTGGAGATTACATTAACAGTGTACAAACTCTCCATTAAATTCTGGAGGATTTTTCCATAAGGGCAGCAAATGACTGACTCGAGATTTGACAGCCTGATATTATCCACTTTATAAATTTGCTCCTCTTCTCTCCCAGTGCATGGTTTAGCTGATGATGCTGTATCTGTGTATAATGAATTTGAACTTTACTGTAATTTTTTCTTCTCAGCCCCTCGGATTTATTTGTAGAGCTGTTTTGGGTGTGCTGAGAACTCAGATTGTTCCCTTTTACACTAAAAATGATGTTCCCTAGGCTTCTTTACAGGACATTCAGCTGGTGATGAACATCGTATTACTGTTTCTAACAAAATATCTTATTATGCAACATCCTTGGTACAGAAAAAAACACAGAAAAAATGTACTTTTACTCCCCAAATGGTGTCCTTTTAACAGTTGGTGAACCTTATAGCCTTTGGATTACTGTTTCCTATTAATACATAGCTTGCAGCCAAGGTAAAGTCACTCAGATCAGGCACAGGATCTGAACACCGCTTCTCCTGAAGGCTTAGAAGATTTATGCCACTGTGGGCAGGTACTGAATACTACTTGCATCTGCTCGCCCTGTTGTGGGACGTGCTTCCCTGCCTGAGGCTCCCACACCTTTGTCTTGGTGTGAAAATTTGTGGGAGTGTTTGAAAGTCAGCCCCAAACGTGGAGGCTCAGGCTTCTCTTTCGCCCTCTCCTCCTTCCAGAAGGAACCAACACCCTAAACTTGCAGCCATTGAGGGAACCTGCGTTGTGTCTCCTTGTGGGAGATGTCTCACTGGTAACGTCAGGCCTGCAGAGTTTTTATTAACGTCCTTCTCTGGGCAGGTATTTTGCAGGCCCAGAACAGCAGCTTGCAGCCACTGCTTTTGCCCACTGTCTGCTCAGTGGATAGTACTTAGTTAACGGGGCGTTAAGGCTCCCTACCTTTCCTGCGCGTGGTCACGCAGCGTTAGCCACGTTCTCGGCACACAGAGATTTGGCTACACGCCGCTCACCTTGGCCTGGGGCTCACAAAATTTAAGCACACCTGGGGGCTCTGGGCACACATCGACAGCCCTTTGGGAGCAGCGGCTGTCCCCTCATGCCACTGGCTGGTGGTTTAGGGACAAGAGAATGACCGTGTTTCCAGACAGCTCCACGGGGGACACGTGGCCTGTGGGAGCTGAATGTACTGATGGAGAGGTCACGGGCTGCTGGAACTGACTGCTCCTTCCCTTCACGCTGTGGCTGTTTCTTTGTTCTCCACCGTTAAAGACAGCAGGAGCTCTGGGATGCCTTTCTAGTAGCATGAAAAAGCTCTAAAACCAGTCCAATAACAAAGTCCCAAAAGGTCAAACTTCCAAGTATCTTTACACCTTTCCTTATCCTCCCAGGTGGTAACTGAGAGGCTTTTGGTTTACAAGTGTTTAGGCCCATTAAGCCAAGCCTTGAAGAGAGCTGTCTAATGAAACAACTCAGCAGTGCCGCAGCCTCCCCAGCAGCGCACTCCAAAGCTGCCCTCATAAACATTTCTTGAGTATACAGCTCATTCGCTGCTGCCACTCCAGCCCCTGCCTCTTGGGCAATAGACCAGTTTGATCTTCTCTGCCTCAGTCTTTCCTTCAGCAACGTTTGTGTATGGACTGTCTCCCTCTTCTGCACATGCTGCCTCGCAGACAGGGCAGGCCTGGTGGTCCCTGATGCCTTCTTGCTAGCCTCCTTTTTCAAAACTTCTTTCATTTAGTTCTTCCCTGATCTCCCACCAGTCCATCTGTTGTGACCTTCTGTGGCCGCACAAGCATTGGGTGGCTTTGTAGCTCCTGGTGTACAAAAAGAAGCATTCACGGAATCATGTGTGATTACACAAGTGATATCTTGAGAGTGTCTCCTAAATTAGGTTTATAGCAGACTTTTTTTTGTAATGATAGCAAATAGACCTCCTTTACAAAGCACGCACCAGGCATTCAGTCTCACATCTTTATCGTGCTGACTGTCCACGTCTGCTCCGACCCTTTTTGCCCATTCCATTTCCAGGTAAGGGGGAGCAGTGACCAAGGAGCAAGATGAACATCCATTCGGCACACAACCCCATAGCTGACACTTAAAATCTCACCTGGAATTTTGGCTCTGGAGTGCAGCAGCTTTCTGCACCGTGGCATCAGGGCTGCCGCGTTACAGCGCTGATGGTAACGGGAGAGGAGAACAGGCCTCTGTGCCCAGCTGAGGACGTGCTCCTTTCCCTTTGCCTCCTTCCAATCCTGGTTCTCCTCCCTGGATAAGCGGCAGTGCAGATATGTGGGTGCTCCTTCCCTGCTGTGTCCAGCTCTGAGTTATTACCCATTTACACGTCCAGGTGTCCCAAGCACAGAGGCACCCAGGTGGCAGTCGTGGTGCTGCTACCTCTGCACCATTCATGTTCATATGTCCCCAGCACAAAGTGGGAAGGCCCTCCTACTCCGTGCGTGCGCTGGGATCAGTTCTGGGCATGATTTTGAGATCAGGCTAGCACATATTTGCAGGAGCAGCGGTTTCCTGCACCACTGATCTATGGCCTTTTGACAATGTGTGGTCTCCAAGCTACATAAATTTGCTCCCCTGGGCAGTCTCACCTTGAGAGACTCAGCTTCCACCAGCCTTGCTGCATCGGTACTTTTAACCCACTGGCGAGTAAAGATAAAAGGAAAAGAAATGTGTTGATTAATTGCATTGTTTTAGTTTTATAGTCATGTTGTATGTAATTTACTTTGTGAATGCAGTGAAATATATATATTTTTTTATTTCCTTAGGCAAAAAACGTGTATGTCAGTTTTTTTCTAATTGCTGTTAAGTAACCAAAGTAAAATAGCTATCACTAAGGAGAAAGTGTCCTCGTGGACATGGCTGAGTGTCCACGGACAAGTATTTGGCAAACTGACATCTATTTCTATGCCTGGAAATACAAAAAGCATACTGAGAAGTGTTTGTGAATTGTCTCCCAATTTGCATTACAAAATGAAATGCAAATGACAACTGCACTGTCTGTGTTACCTTTAGGATTTCAGAATCTGTTTTGGTTTGAAACATTTTTGAGTTTATATAAATATCATAATATAACACACCCAAAAGCCCAACAGTTTTTTTCCAGTGAAATTTCAGAGTTTCCTTTTTTGCTTGTCCTGATTACTCATTTTCTCTTTTGTTTCCTGTTTTGTTCTTTATTTTCCTTATCTACCTGCTGAATCACGCCATCCAATCAACATACAATGCGAAAACCATGTCTCCGTCTGTATGTTGTGCACCTGCTGCTCAAAAAAATAAATTTGTAAAATAATCTTGCAAATATCCATCCATGAAAACATCACATATAGGACACGGTTGGTTTCATTGAATTTAAACAATTATTTAAATTCTCTGCTTTTATTTTCTCTTGTTTTTCTTTAATTTAATTTGTTTTGATGAGATTTCCGATTGCACTGGTGAAAAAGCCTCACTGCAGCGTGCCTCAAAACTGGCTTCTGTTCTGCATCTTCTTCCCCTTGGCTAATTGGTGACGTGAGGCAAATGCAGTTACCAATAGCCTGTTCTCCGCTGCTTGTTACACCCGACTATGGTAAAGGGGAGACTGACACTTGCTTTATTTTGGTGGAAAATTGAATGAGAATAGGAGGGAAGGATGCTTCTGGATGACCTGGAGTAGAGAAGATTGTCTGGCTGGGAAGCCCATCATTTTGTAAGTGGTGGTACCAAATCCAGTTCTGAGAAACTGTTTTTGTTTTCATTTTTCTATTTTCAATGCGATATGTTGAGCAGTCTGCAAAGGGAAGCAGTTCATTTAAGAGGACTGTCTTACAGGTGTTTTAAGCCCATGCTGTGTTGTAAGGCAAAAATATTGTTGAAGTGACTACAGACTTGCTTCCCTCAAATTAAAAGAGCAGGCATAGAAAAGGCTGATTTATTCAGCTTTGAAAACTCTTTGTGCGTCCACAGCAGACACAGAGAGTGCTTGGATGCAAAAGTGAACGCAAATAAAATTTATAAATCACATTACGAACAGGATTGAAAGGTGCTGGGATGCTAATTTAATGCCTGCTTTGAAAGATGTCCCTGGATATGATGGCATTTGTTTTCTGAATATCATCAATTAAGCAAAACAGAATAAATTGGGAAAAATACAATTAAAAAAATCTGCCATTCTTAATTATTCTGAGTATGGTTAATAGCGTATGAGAAGTTTATTAAAAATACATCTGGGTCACCTGACAGCACCTCTTGGATCCATATTGGCTTAACATCTGGGCTTTCTGTTGCACAGTTGCCGTTTTGTCAGGGAGAAAACTGGCGTTAGCTTTCCTGACATGCTGCAGATGCCCACCACCGCACTTGCTCAGTGGAAGGCTACAGAAGGAAATCTCCTGATAGGAAGAAATATAGAAGACAAGACAGTGCAAAGGTTAAAATTTGCACCGTGCGGACTGAGGAAGGGACCCTCTGCCGTCTTTACAGGAGCTGCAACCATTACAGATGGGTAGAAGCACTGAGAAGGTCATTGTATGATTCATCTTGGTGTGCCCCTGGTCCAGGCAGTCTAGAAAAAAAGCTCTAAGCAGCAGCTGTGCACGTGCTATATGCTGGAAGAATCAGGTTATCTCCGTTTGTCAAAATTTTGGCGTTGGTGTCTGCATTGCAGCTTGAGGCCTTAAATGTTGATCCTGCAAACAGTCTCCTTAGTCCTGTATCCAGTCTCAGACTGCTTCCACCATGTGGAGTCCAAGTTGTGTGAGCCAAAATTGGGTCTCTGGAGGCCCAGATTGCCCTCCAGAACTGCCTTTCTACCCCCAATGCTTACAAGAGGATCCTGCCATGGTACAGCAAGAGTAGCTAAGTTAAAAGGTAGTAGGGAAGGAAGGGGGATTCAGCTGTCATGTGTTTAGAAAATAATTTTTTCAGTGTTCCTGGTTGGGAGCTAAAGGATGTGATATGCCTGTTAACAGCAGAGTCCCCATGACACTGGCAGTGTGGCAAGAATCGTGGGCCTCTTAAAATCAGCAAGGCTTTCCCTAAGCTTAGAAGGAAGACAAAGATCTCATGCAAGGTTTTGGAGCTCTTCATGAGTACTGGTCATGTTAAACCTTTATGCAGGAACAGGAACAACTAATTCAGGATTGTTCATGTGCTTAAAGACAGTTTCCTCAATGGAAGTTTCTTAGCAGAGTAGATGGGTTCTTGTTGCTTGTCAGCTGCATACAGCTTTTGTTGATGATGCTTTTTGGCTTGGTCAGACTCCTCACAACTCCTAGTAAGTTTGGGTGGGCAACTTTGGGTAGCTTGGGTGAGTTCAAAGATAGTGAAAAGTCTGAAGTTTCAAAGGTTTTGTTTTGTTTTGTTCTCCTATTCTGATCTGCCACTGGGCTGCAAGAAGAAGTAGGGGTGAGCAACCTCAGTTGTAGTGAGGTGGTTCTGTGGGAGCATAGTGTGCTTCCTCCTTCACCACATCCTGCAAGCACGTCCAGCTGCGGCACGGAAAATTGGAACTCACATTCCAAGCTCAAAAATCCAAAGGCTCAATGTCTTGGGCACGTTGCAACTGCTTGGCAGGACACAGATGACTCTGCTTTCCCATCAAGAGCGTGAAGAGCTCCTGTGTCAGGGGATGAAGCTATTCAGAGACTGCTGATACTGAAGGATTGAGGCAATGGCCACGTGCCATATTCATAATAACTCTTCTGCTTTTCACTATAGAAAATAGCCTAAGAGAAGGCAAAAGACCAGGTTGCCCATGCCTTGGCGGCCAGTTCTGCACCTTGGATGTACCTACTCCTTGTTTCCCCCTGCTCTCTTCCTCTGCAGGGAGATGCTGGGACATTTTGCACGGGGGAGCTTCTGTCACTCTCCTCCTGTTGTGGGACACAGTGACTTTGCCAGGTCATGTGCAGACCCTTGAGCTGAAAGCACTTTTGACACTCAGTTGGCCCTGTTAGTCCTTGGGTGGTTCATATCATAAAGCAGCGTTGGTCTGCCCTTAGCAACTGTGCAACAGAAAAACAGGCAAAGAAAAACAGGCAGAAAGAATAAGCTTGACAATCCAGATAACGATCTTTTGTATGTCATGTGTTATAGAGATAGCCAACTGGAAGGAAAATTGGTGCAAAGCACCACTATACACAAAAAATATTGCAATGTGGAGTTTCCCCTTTAATTGCATGCAATTCTAATACCTGCCTGGACAGTTTGGTCGTTGAGGGGATGGGTTTTCTACGTGGTGTGCTGAGGGGTACACACGCAGAGCCCTTCCACCCATCACGGTAGCGTGTGTAATTTGGCCTCCTTACGAGGAGCGCAGAGAACGGTCCTTCGGAAGTTCTGTAAACGCTGATGAACTTGGATTTACCTGGGTTGCCAGTGATGCCCCGTGGAGCTGATGGCAGTGCATGGGTCAAAAATGGAGCGTTTGGGGTTGGAATTTGAAAAAAAAAAAACAAACCCAAATCTTGATCTTGATCCTTCCAAATCCAAGGTAGTGGGGAAGTTAAGGAAATTACTGCATAGGCTGTTTTGAAGCCCCTAGCTTCATATTGTAATTATTTTATATATCTATCTATATATATAGATATACAACTGCATATTACTTGTAGTATTATATTATTTTAAATATATATAGACTCTGCTATATAAAGTCTCATTTTGCGCAGGCAGAGCCTTTGCTAGGTGAGACTTTGCAGTCAACATTAACCCAGCCATGTTAAGTATCATGTCAGCTGTGATTATAACATTATACTAAAGCCCAAAGAAAACTTTTTTTTGGCATTATGCCAGAATAACAGAGGTGGAAGGCAGCGGGGCAGGTTGTGTGCACAGAGGCTGCTCCTGTGGACTTGGGCACGGGAAGGATCTGGCCCCACTGTTGCTCTGAAGGTCGTAGTCTGTGGGGCTTGCAGGCCTGTTTGCTGAGTGCTATGGGTGTTACATGGTCCATAGGACCCACTGATGTTCCTGCTCCTGGTGGGAGCATTTCCAGGACTGGAGCAGGCTCTGGAAAAAAAGCTTGCCCGTGGACCTGAGATCGCTTGCAGGCACCGTGCATGGGTGGAAGTACGTGTATCCTGGCCGGAGCAGCGGGATGGGGCAGGCAGGCGAGGGTCCGGGTTAACCGTGTTTGCATCAGGCCCTAGCTGCAGTCAGGTGCTGATCCCCTCACCTCTTGCATAGTTTGGTGAAGGGAAGGTAACTGATGCAAAAACGAAAAATAAAATCAAAGCTGAGACACAAGTGCTGAATTTTTAGCACCCGTTTTACTGGCCTTGAACAACCCAGGGGAATCCTTGCTTGTATTTTGCCTGCTAGCGCTGCTTTCTGTTGCTGACTTGAATGAGCTCAGTGTTGTCTGCTCTTTCATTGAACATATCTATATGCTTTTCTCTTTTCTCTTTATTTGAGGACTGAGTCAGATATACAGTCTGTGCCTAACTCTGAGCTGCTTGCGTTTTTAACATGAGAGAAACAGAGTGCATGCCTGAGACTGATTTCTTGAACTCTTTGATGGGATTGGTGGGATGCAATGCTAATGGCCCCAAATCAAAGCTGGCATTAAAAAAAAAGAATAGATCCAACAAGCCCCCCAAAACTTGGCATGAGCTCTGCAGCCAAATGAGCAAGAAAGTATGGGTCAGTTTAACATGACTGGGCATCTTCTGGTAAAATAATACAAGGGAAAGACTATTTTTTGCTCATCTTTACCACCAAGAGCTCTTCACAGCTATATTTTCCCTTGCACTGCTTGACAGTTTAAAGTGGGATGTTTTCCTTCTTCAGCTGACTCAAATAAGTGGCTGTGATCAGCGATTCACACCTAAGTGAATTGGAATCAGTATGGAAAGGAGGGATATTTTAATCTCCTTAAAGTAGGAGGGCAAGAGGGATCTGGCTTTTGCATGTTTTGTTTTGGAAAGAACCCTCTCTAGATTAGCTCATTGGGACAAGCTATCTTTTTTTTCCTTAAGAACAGGAAAAAAATGGGGTGTGGGGCAAAGAATCATACAAAGCAAATGAAAAATCACAATCCGTCTCCAGCATTTCTTTGATCCACCTGCAAAGACATATTTGATAGTAATAAAAAACCAGCAGGTTGCTAAGACATGGCCCTGCTGTTGAATGCTCAACCTTCCCCAGTTAATTTGCTACCAGTGATCCAGCTTCCAAGCAGTCTTACTGGTGCCATTTCTCCTTGATGAGCCTGTCCAGTCACATGTTGGATAAATACTTAAAACAGTCAGCTTAGAAAACATCCTTGTTCTATTAAGGATGTTTAAATGTTCACTGGACAATATCTTCCTGCATTATGGTCAAGTCCATTACATCTGTCTTGGCCGAAGTTCAATGCATTGTACAAAGCAAGCTGACCAAGACTTCCAAACAATCTCATTTTTTTTTAATGAAATGATACCGTGGCACCATTACCTCTCCCTGAGTCTCTAGAGGGAGAAAAACTGCCTTGCTCAAAGAAAACAAGGACTCCATGGACAGCACGAAAGGGCTATTTCCTTTTTGCTTATTGACTCAGTAGTAGAGGGGAGGGCTCTTGTGGAGAGGGATTTTCTCATACTTGCTGCATGAGGAGTGATCTGCACTGACGAATGTTTCTTTTGGAAGGTTTTCTGGTGGCCGATTTGCTGCTTAGATCGTGAAGCTGGTAATTTTAATTTCTTTTTTGCGGGCTGTGGTTTCCAATCGCGTTAATTTCTGAAGGACACCAAACCTTTACTTTCCGCAGGACAACTTCATCAACCTCAGCTTCCTGCGGCTCTTTCGAGCAGCCAGACTTATCAAGCTCCTCCGCCAGGGTTACACTATCCGCATCTTGCTCTGGACCTTTGTGCAGTCTTTCAAGGTGAGTGCCAGGCAGACCGGCGGCAGGAGAGCCGGAGGGGGAAGGACACGTTCCTTTTCCCCGCACCTTCCATTGAGTTGCTCTCCATCTCCGCAAGGGAGTAGTTGTTTTGCAGAGCCTGCTTTGCACTGCATGTCCGGTGCACACTGCAGATGCAGAGCATTTGGAAGAGAGGTCTGAAAGCCAGTGAGCTGCCCCCTCAGAGGCAGGACGGGTGGTCAGCACTCAGGTTCACCTTGCAACTGTCCCAAAAGCTCAAAAACAAAGCCTTGTGCAAGGGGCATTAGAGTACAGCTTGTAAATGCCTTTGTGCCTACTCTTTGCCTGTAGCAAGTGCAAGGTTGACTCCCTTTTACTGAGGTTTAAGTGAATTTGTGTAGGTTAAAAGGCTGCCACCTACTTCTGCTTGGTGGAGCAGGGGTAATTTATTAAGCTGGAGTAATTTGCTAATCATCTCATGAAGCGAAGGGGAAATCATTGAAATTTGGTAATATAAAACATGAAGCTGTGTAACACGAGGTTGTGTTTTGATAACATGGAGGGTTACAAGGAGGATTTTGTTTTTTAAAGCCAGCCAGCTGCCTCCTGTGGCTCCCAGCTCCCTCCCGACACGTGTTGGCACAGGGGCTGAGGAGTCGTGGCAGCTGGGACAGCACCTCCGAGCCGGATGCCACCAGCCTGCACAGTCCAACAGCAGCGTCCCAGTGCTCAGACCGTGCTTAGCCTCAAGTTCACTGCTTGCCTGGCAGACCTAAGTCAGAGCCTGCGTGCCCTAATGCTGCTTTGCAGCCCGTTTCCACACCTTGATGTGTTTAACAATGTCTGTGGGGCGCAATCAAGGTCTGCAGTGCAGAAAAGAAACCATCTAGTCTGAAATCAGACTTCTCGTAGTGTTCATGTTGAGCTCCAGTACACCTTCGTTTTTTCACTGTGCAGCCTTAGGGCACAGAAGGCCGGTCCCACTCTTCTAAGGTAGTAACGCATGATCCTCGTCCCAGCAAGCACTCAATCACCCTGGCATTCAGAAATCTTGCAGTAGAGAGGTTATTTCAGAATAAGCAGAAAGACGATTTAGGAAAGCAAAGCACAACAAGGTTGAGGAGCTGCTGAAGGCAGTTCTGCTTGCTAGCTCGCAGCCCCGGGAGCTAACGTCTTGCTGGCAGCGCGCCACGCTCCTGAGCTCTGCTCGTGCATACGGTGGATGACTCTGGGGAGCTGGGAACCATATGTCAGGCTCAGTAATGGATCTTGCCTTCTTCTGGGTTGAGCTCCTCAATCTGCCACTGAATTCGCTGGATGAGAGCGTATGCTCTGGTGCTGTGGTGAGATCTGGCTGGCGTGGTTGCAGTAACACCAGGGTATCTTGCACGGCGCTTTCCGGGTTCCTTTACTGAGGCAATCCGTACTTATAATGCGCCGAGAGCAGTTCCGTGCAGCATAATCATTTTCTTCCATTTTAGCTGCATTTTGAGATACAGCGAGGAGTCGGAACGTGGTCCATGGCTGCCTTTAGGCATTTCAGGAAGGCAGGCCAGAAAGGCAAGGTGGTGGAATTGCCCTTTGCGTGAGAGAGCAACTGGAACGCATGGAGCTCGGCACAGAGGAGGACAAAGCACGGGTTGAGAGCCTATGGATGAGGATTAAAGGGCAGCCAACAGAGACGACACTGTCGTGGGAGTTTGCTACAGGCTGTCTGACCAGGAGGAGGAAATGGATGAGGCCTTCTACAGGCAGCTGCAGGAAGCCTCACGATCCTAGGCCTAGTCCTTACAGGGGACTTCAACCACCCTGGTGTCTGCTGGGATGATCACACAGCTGGGACCGGAAAGTCTGGGAGGTTCCTGCAGAACATTGCAGATAACTTCTTGATGCACGTGGTTGATGAGCCAACAAGGCGAGGGGTGTTGCTAGACCTGATACTAACAGAGATAGTCTGGTTGGCAATGTGAAGGTTGGAGGCAGTCTTGGCTGCAGCAGCCACAAGATGTTGGAATTCACAATCCTGCTTTGAAGAAGCTGGACAAGAAGTAGAATTGCAGCCCTAGAACTTCAAGAGAGCTAAATTTGACCTCTTCAGGGAGCTCCTTGAAGGAATCCCCTGGGCCAGGGTCCTAGAAGGAAAGGGGTTCCAGGAGAGCTGGCTAATATTCAAGCACCACTTTCTCCACGCTCAGGACCAGTGTGTTCCCACAAGAAAGAAGTTGAGCAATGGGGACATCCTGCGTGGATGGGCAAGGAGCTGTTGGGTAAACTTAATGAGAAAAAGAGCATGTACCTAATGTGGAAAAAGGATGAGACCATGTGGGAAGAATACAGAAATATCGTCAGAGAATGCAGGGGTGCAACGAGGAAGGCCAAGGCCCATTTGGAGTTAGAGTTAGTAAGAGGTGTCAAGGAGAACAGGAAGGGCTTCTATAAATACATCAGCAGCAAGAGGAAGACTAGGAAAAATGTTAGTCCACTGCTGAATAGGGAGAGTACCTTGGTGGCGCAGGATGCAGAGGAGGCAGAGTTACTAAATGCCGCCTTTGCTTCTGTCTTTACTGCTAAGGCTAGTCCTCAGGAACTACTGAGCCTGGAGACAAGAGAGAGAATCAGGAGAGAGGAGGACTTTCTGCTTGTCGAGGAGGATTGGGTTAGCGACTATTTAGGCAAACTGGACACCCATAAATCTATGGGCCCAGATGGGATGCACCCAAGAGTGCTGAGGGAACTGGTGGGGGTCATTGCTCAGCTGCTCTGCATCATCTTTGAGAGGTCATGGAGACCAGGGGAGGTGTCGGAGGACTGGAAGAAACCAACATCACTGCAGGCTTCAATCAGGGCAAGAGGGAAGAGCCGGAAAACTACAGGCCGGTATGCCCCACCTCTGTCCCTGGAAAGATGATGGAGCAGCTCATCCTAGAGACCATCTCTGGGTGTGTCAAGGAAAAGAAGGTAATCAGGAGTAGTCAGCATGGATTCACTAAGAGGAAGTCGTGTTTGACGAACCTGATTGATAGCCTTCTACGATGGGATGACCGGCTGGCTGGATGGTGGGAGAGCTGTTGATGTTGTCTACCTTGACTTCAGCAAGGCTTTTGACACAGACTTTCTCCCATAACATCCTCATAGGAAAGCTTGGAAGATGAGTGTTAGATGAGAGGACAGTGAGGTGAATTGAGAACTGGCTGGATGGCAGAGCCCAGAGGGTGATGATAAATGGGGCCAAGTCTAGTTGGAGGGCTGTGGCCAGTGGTGTCCCCCGTGGGTCAGTACTGGGCCCAGTGCTCTTCAACTTGTTCATCAATGACTTGGACAAGGGCACAGAGGGAACCCTCAGCAAGTTTGCAGATGACACCAAACTGGGTGGAGTGGCTGACACTCCTGAGGGCTGTGCTGACATTCAGGGGAACCTGGACAGGATGGAGAGTTGGGCAGAGAGGAACTTCATGAGGTTCAACAAGGACAAGTGCAGGGTCCTGCATCTGGGGAGGAATAACCGCAGATACCAGTGCAGATTAGAGGTTAACCTGCTGGAAAGCAACTCCGTGGAGAGGGATTTGGGAGTCCTGGTTGACACCAAGTTAACCGTGAGGCAGCAATGTGTCCTCACAAGGGCAAGGAGCCAATGGGCTCCTGGCTGCATCAGGAGGACCATTGGCAGCAGGGCGAGGGAGGGGATCCTGCCCCTCTGCTCAGCTCTGGGGAGGCAGCTGGAGTATTGGGTACAGTTCTGGGCTCCCCCAGACAAGAGGGACGTGGAGCTTCTAGAGAGGGTTCAGAATAGAGCAATGAACCCTGTGCCACGTGCTCTAGGTATCTGTGCTGGAGCAGAGGAGTTGGACTAGATGATCTGTGGAGGTCCCTTCCAACCTCAGTCATTCTGTGAGTCTGATTTGAGATGATTCAGAGAGGTTATTTTAGGTGATAAAACTGTGGAAGGAAGTATTTTCTCCATAAAGGGCAAAGATGTAGCAGAGAAGAAGCGTTTCTGCTCCGAAGTTGGAGTGGTGGCAGGTGGTTCAAGCCAGGCTACTGGGAGCACTGGAAAGACGTGCCAGCTCTTTGTAATGAGGCAAACCCAAGTGCACTGTTCCAGAGGTGTTTCGAGAGGTGTCCATCAGTGAAGAACCGTGATTGACCGGAGCTACATCCTACTCGCACCCTGTTACACGCTCCAAGTTGCCACATCAGTGACAAGCCCAACTCTTAGTGAGGTGAGGGTGGTTTTCCCCCGTAGCCTGACTACCTAGATGTGTTTGAACCCTGCAGGCTCTTTCCAAACTGCTACTGGAATCAGAGCCTCCTTCAGTGTAATCCAAGTATAGTCCTGGTTATTTCCAAAGCATACGTGCAAACTGCCACCCTGCAATGCAGAGCCAGACCAACTCCTGGCCAATGTGTGGAGTTCCTTGGCCTCCTTTTTCACCTGCTTCTTTGTGCCTCATGGAAAGATGCCTAGCAGAAACTGCATCAGTCCTTTGCCCCATGTTTCCTACTGGGCTCTCAGGGGGGCCCAGACTGGGCTGCATGGCCTGACTCTTGCCCTGGGCTTCATAGTGAATAATCCTAAGGCAGCAACTTGTCATTTTTTTCAGCTATTACTGAATGAAGAGTCATCAAGCACTCCTTCATTCAGCCTAGGGGCTAGTAGCTATTACTCCCAACTTGGCCAACATAATTGCATTGCGGCCCTCAATGATTTCTCACTAAAACTCAACTTTTTGTCCTCTGGGGAGTGTAACCTCTATCTATTTCAGAGCAGGAACTTGTTTCTTGGATTTTTTTTCTCCTATTGAGTGGACAGCAAGGACTCTAGAAACTAATGAGTACTTATGCATAGGAGGTGCCTGTCGTTGATGCCAGCACTTACTGTGGAGTTTCTTGTGTTTTTACTTACCTGCTTGCAAGGATATGAATACCCGCTTGGATGCAGTCCTATGTCACGTGCTGTAGGTGACCCTACGTGTGCAGGGGGGTTGGACTAAACGATCTCTAGGGGTCCTTTCCAACCTTAACAATTCTATGATTCTATGAATACAGAGGTCTTGGAAATAATCCAAGTCGATTTGCGATTGATGAATACCTGGTTCCAGAGGTTTATCTTCTGAAGGTCACCAGAATTGCTGCAAGTCTCCTCTTAGTTACTTTGTCCAAAGGGTGAGCAGCATTAAGAAATGCTGTGCAGCCCTAGAGCTAATTGGTACCAGCTGATGCACACTTTTGCTGCTGTTAATTCTGCCTTCTTGTTTTCTACAGGCCTTGCCTTATGTGTGTCTCCTCATTGCAATGCTGTTCTTCATCTATGCCATTATTGGCATGCAGGTAATATTTTAGCTTTAATCCTGACTGTAAGTAGTTTGCATTTGTTCTTTTGGTTCTAGGTGTAAATGGGCTAATGGCTCTGCAGCAGCATCAATATCTGCCTACAGACGAGGCAAAAGCTTCTTTTTGCCTGGTGTCAGGTGAACCCGAAGTGCAAAGAAAGCTCCTTTTTCTACCCCTGCTGCCAGATGTTGTGTTGCACGTGGCCCCAGCACAGAAAAATATTGCTGGTGGCGCAAGGCAGAGCATGAGCAGGCAAACCAGCTGCCATGGGCTTGGAAGCAGCAGCGCAGCAGCCACGTGCTTGGGTTTGGGCACGTGTTCCTCCCTGTGGGCATGTGTTTCTGTGGAATTTCTGTGTGATAAGTGCATATGGAAGGGCTGGAACCAAGGAGCAGCTCACACAGTACACTTTTCTGAAAGAAACATGAGAAAGTTTTCATGGCCTATGCTGGAGCTGAAGATAGGCCCTGTGGTGTTGGAAGGGAGCTGTTTGAAGATGAAGTATATTAACCTTTTTCTCCCATGGTTCTCCTCAACATGGTTCTGTCTTCCTCTTCAGCACAGAAATTACTCCTAACTTTTCAGATTGGTTGAATTAGGACGAACTCTTCTTCACTTTACCTGCATTTGCTGATGACTCCTGTGAGGTTCACACAGGGATGCGCTTGGCCTGAGTTGCTCTTGTTTTCTGTCACAGGTATTTGGGAACATTGCACTAGATGATGAAACATCCATTAATCGGCACAATAATTTCCGTACCTTTCTTCAAGCCTTGATGCTTTTATTCAGGTGAGTCAAACATAAAATACTGGTAATACAGATGATAAATAAGTCCTTGTATTCCCACATATGAGTGACGTAAGTAGAGCTGGTCCTGCTTGGGGACAGTGATGGGGTTTTATATGTGCTGCTGAGGTCCTTTAAAGACCTGAGTTTCTCCTGGTTCTGATGAGAGTCTTGCTGCCAGTGTGTGCACTGATTAATGTCCTTCCAGTCTTGAAGCCTATGTACTTTTTAAAGTGAGAATTCCTTTAATTGGTTATTTTTGCATTGCCAGCAAATTAGCAGTTCATATGTCAACATCACCTCTGCTTCAGAGTGAAACCAATTCCGTCTGGGTTCATTTTGTCTGGAAACAACACGTTTTCAAAAGAAAAAAGGAAAAACAAAATATAGATTCTGTTTCAGTGGAGTATGATTGGAGAGTTGATGTGCATCAGTTTAAGCAAAATGAAGTACAGACCCTTCTCCAAATTTGTGGCACTTTCAGGAAGATTTTACTTATCTTTACTTATTATGCGATGCTTGTAATGGGATCTCTTGCTTGGGACTGGGTTTGCATGGGTTCTGTGAAGAGAGCTGGAGGACAAATTACCCTCTCAAGCTCCAAATAATCAGTTGAATCTAAACTACGAAATCTAATAAAACCAGATAATTATTCAGGCTTGCGTGTGGACCTCCCGGTCTCCTTCCAGACTGGCTCCAGCGGGGAGGGGACGCGAGGTGGCAGAGCTGGCAGCCCCACGAGGGCACGGGGGCTTTGGCACCCTCCAAGGAGTGGGACCAAGACCCGAATGCCACCAAGGGAGAGTCTGCTGTACAGTTTTGAGTGGTCTGGAAGCTATTTCAGGTTACATTGACCACAAAGTTCTCTCAAAGACCAGGAGGAAGGCTTACAAGACTGTTTTGAGGATAAATAAGGGGTGTCTGTGCCCGAGGCTCATCCCAGGGTCTTTCACCAAGGCTGCTTTTTGCTGGCATTTAGTGTCTGGAAGCAGGTGATGAGGTGAATGTCTCTGTATCAGAACGAATAGCACCGTACCCAGTTTGTGTGGCTTTGATCCTCACCGTATGCATGGAGCTTTCTTCTTGTCCCAAAGAGTTCCTGAAAGCACCTGTGAGGTGTGCGGGAATTCCTGGGAGGGGCGGTGCTGGGATGCAGGCGCAGGGCCCCGTCCCCGCACGGAGCCATTCCCGGTTTGGCACCGTGGCGCGTCCCGCGGGAAGGCTCACGGATCCCTGGCCCCGCAGGAGCGCCACCGGCGAAGCCTGGCACGAGATCATGCTGTCCTGCCTGAGCAACCGAGCCTGTGACCCGCTCTCCGGCCTCACCAAGAAGGAATGCGGCAGCGATTTTGCCTATTTCTACTTCGTGTCCTTCATCTTCCTGTGCTCCTTTCTGGTAAGTCATCAGCGATGGTGCTCAAGTGTCTGGGCTGGTCCAGACCTGCTCCCCATCCTCCTCTTCCTCCCTCAGCTCAGTGACTTTCCTGTCTCCCTGTCCTGTTTAATGATGATTTATACAACAATACACGACAGCTCTGCTAAAAAAACGTTTTATCATCCTGGAGATAAGATCCCTTTAATCCCTAAAGAGATAATTTAGTCATTAGTTTAAAGGGAAGGGCTTTATCTTCCTTCCGGGAGGTCTAATATTTGGAATTAAGCAAGTGTTAATCTGTTTTGTCTTGAATTGCGGCACAGTCCTTTGAAGACGGGAATCAGGTGAGAATGGCCAGGGTGTCTTGGCTCCAAGGGCTTTCCAAAGACAGCACGGGAGCGTCAGGCTTATTTGATGGCTTGATTTTGTTTTGTGGTGCTTTCCAAATAAAGAGCAGGATTGTTTTCTTCTGCTTTCGTGTCAAGGAAACCCTTAGACGCGAAAACACGGAGCGGTTGTCCTTGATTGCTGCTGGTGGACGTCATGCAGCACCGGTCTAATCTTCTCGTACGTGGCAGCGCTTTTCTGATCACTTGCATGCATAGAAAGCTCTTTGCTCGGAATCTCTTTTCTGTATGACTAGGATGGTAGAATGGAGAACCAGGGAAAGGGATTCAGTTAAGCATCAAGAAATGAAAAATAACGATTTTGAAATGCTCCAGAAGGGAGTGTATCAGGCCAACGTTCACTTGCATGCGATTGCGTTAAAACACATGATTAGGTGCTTTGTGTGCTTTTCCTTTAACCAGGAAAAAAAAAGAGGTTCCTGTGGAAGTTTGATATTGTCTGTGGATTAAAATACTCGAATGGCCGGTAGGGAGATCATTTGTCCAACTCTTGTTCCTCCTTTGACATCCTGTGGATTTTTTCTCCTGCATATATTAAAAAAGAAGCCCTGAAAGCTCATACGAAGTTACTGCTTCATTTACTGATTCCTTCAGTGCTCTGCATTTAAGGCTAAAATCTCTCCTGGTATAAACCGTTTACCTAGCATCAGAAATAGGCTTGGTTGTTTTCAGCTGAATGGTGGTTCCTGCATCTTAAAAAAAACAAACTCCAAATCAACCAGAACCCTCCAAACTCACCCCGTGTGAGCCCTCGCACTTGAGATGCACTAGCAGAGCTGCAGGCAGCAGCACATCTGTGTAAAATCCAGCTTTGCGTGAGCCTCGGCTCCGAGTCAGCGCTCCCAGGAACCTGCCGTGGCGGGGAGAGGGGAGAGCCCTGTGGAGAGCAAGGAGAGGGAGCCCGGCTCCAGGAACAGCCGTCGCAAAGCCAGGCAGCTGGATGGGTGCAGCGCGAGGCTGTAACTCATTTCTTAAAACACATTCAGCACTTCATTGCAATAAAACTTGTGGTTCCCCACAAGTGAATAAACCATTATGGAGCCGCAGCCTTGCCAGGAGGGCTGTTTTTTTATGGTTTGTGAGGTAGTCTTACACCACAGAGTTGGGGGAAAGCGTGTAATGCATTTGGCTGTAAGTTTTTTTCCGTCCTTTTTTGGATGTGCAGCCTGATATCATTTTCCAGCTGTAATTTACACTGCTGAAAAATATAAATTGAAATAAAACAAATGGGAGTAATTTTACAGAAGTAAGGAAGAGCTGTCCTGAGTCCTGACTGGAACTGGGAGCAATGCAAAGGGTCTTTAGATCAAGGGCCAAGTTCACCACAGTCTTGCCAGCTGCTCGTGCTCTGGGAAGAGCAGTTGCGTGTGGGATGGCAGCAGCATTGCTCATGGGGACACCCTGCAGCGGTCCTCACTGCGGTGGCCTGTTCCTCAGTGCCCTCGCGCGTTGCTGCAGAGGAGGGAGCCGTTGCGGCCGCCTAGGAGCCAGCAGGGTTGATGAGCTCTCTCCTGCACGTTGAATCGCGTGGCCTGGAGATGACATGCCCTGAGATGCTTTCCAAAAGGCCAGGGCCTTAGTGCAAGATGATGCATTGGAGAGCTGGGTTCTGTTCTCTGCTTTACATTCAATTAAATCAGATACATTTCTTTGCATTGGCTTCCTCTGTTGCAGTCTGAAGGTGAGTTCTAGGAAATGGATGGACTAAAGGTCTGAGAACTTCCTGATAGCAGTCGGTTGTATATGAATGTCATTATAGACTGTGTTTGACCATGTTAGTGAATCGTTTCTCACAGCAGAAGTCCATTTGCTACATGTCCAGCAGTGAAAGTCTCCTTCTGCCCTCCAGATCATCCAGAAATACTGAAGAGACTGTAAATTTTTCTAAGCTTTTCTTTTTCTAAGCTTTTTTCTTTTTTTCTGCTTTTCTTTTAATGACTGGCAGATGCTGATCAGCTGGAGACATCTACATTCAGTTTAGTTTTGCTGATCACAGCAAGAGAGCTCACAAGCTGCTTCACTTCGCTCATCATCCTTCCTCTGCATGGTGCAGAAAGGAGCGCTCACAAGGGCTTATCAACCTCCCTGCAGAGGGAAAAGAAAGAAAAGAACATGGAAAGCTGCCTTGTGCTTGTCAGGTCTTTATGCAGCACAGGAACAGCAATTCCTGCCTGCCTTCTTGCTCTTCCATACTTTCTGCACCTTGATATTTTACCATTGAAATGCTTGTGTATCTTGCCACATCATTGGCTTTAATGAGAGGAAAATCTTTATATACGGAGAGTATTTGCCAGGCTCTGTGTTAGATGGTAGCTGTTAGGGAACGTATCCTTTTATGTGCTCTGTCTCTTGTCTTTTTGGGTATCTTTGAAGGCTTGAATTGCTATGAGCCTAAACTAGGAGAGTGGTGGTTTTCTGCTAGTCATTCTGTCTCAATTTGTAAGCTCTGGAGGTGTTCTCAGGAGAGCCACATAATCCAGAGCCACCTGAGGCAGCCCAGGTGCCAGTTTATGCTGGTATTGCATGAGGAAGGGATGTTGGCTGCGTTCCTGGCACCTGAGATGTGCAGTAGCCGCTGCTGGGAAGGACCTGCTGTAGAGCTACGCCTGAGGTTAAGGACATTACCCAAATGCATTAGCCAAATGAGGGTAAGCACATTACTCAAAAGCTCCCTGTGCTGCAGAATGGAAATCAGCTTGCAGAGGGCAGGTTAGGAGGAGAGGACAACAGGGTCTCTGCAGCTCTGTTTGCGGGGCCTGTTAGGTGCCCCAGGTGTTGGGTGTTCAGCCGGGGTGGCCACAGAACTGAAGTCACTCTTGATCTGCGTGTGAGCTACGAGTTGGCTGCTCCTCCTTGGTTGGGATTCCTTCTCCAGGATGTAGCCGTTTCTTGGTCTCTTTTTGGAACTTGTTGAAAGCAACTTATAGTACTGCCATGAGTAAGAGTCGCTGTAAGAAAAAGCTGTCATCAACACATCCTCACAACATACTTCTAAACTATGAGTTTTCAGAGATTTCCTTCTCAGGATCTAGAAAGCAGCCATTCCTACTCTGCTTTGCAATGGCTTCATGTGGCTCAACCTTTCTGGCCTGAGACCACAGTCATTTTCAGGTGGGGCTGCAGGGTGGTGTATCTGGTACGTACCTGGGAAGACTTTCTGATCTCTCTTGCTTCCCCATCCACCTGCTGCACTTCGCTCTTTTTAAAAGGGTCAGGCAGAGCACAGGGCTGGGAGGACCTCATATTGCAGCATTGCTCTCCTGCGAGCAGAGCGGCTACTCTAGGCTGCCAAGGAAGATTTAGACAATTCTGCTGGCCCAAAAACTCAGCAATGGGCTCAGTGCAGAAATTACGTGTCCTAAGTGAAATATTCCTGTTCAACTTCCAACTTTTTATTTATTTATTTATTTATTCCTTCCTTCTAAACTCTATTTTTGGTTCCTCTCTGCAGATGCTAAACTTATTCGTGGCTGTGATTATGGACAATTTTGAATACCTGACAAGAGACTCCTCCATCCTTGGCCCACACCATTTGGATGAGTTTGTTCGTGTCTGGGCTGAATACGACCCAGCTGCCTGGTATGTATGCTGTTATACTTGTATGTGGAGTAATGGGTATGTGTTGTATATGCACAGAATATTAAGAACAGGCTGTTTGTGTGTATGTGAGTAGAGCTCCAGAAGGAAAAGAATTCCAAAGATGGAAGTAACTTTGGAAGGGGATGCTTCAAATTCAGTTTACAAAGCACTGGAATTTAAATAATTTCATGTTACTACATGGGAATTTCCTTTACATAGGCACGAGAACCAACAAATTGATAAAGAACACCACAATCCCCCTGCCTGCTAGTGCACACACTGCCAAAAAAGAATAGACTAAGTTCAAATGATCTTGGCTGAATGGACAAGTAGACAAGATGTTTAGGACTTCCGAGAGCAGCTTCGAATGCCTTTGGTTTCTTCATCCATTTTTAAAGATAAAAATGTGCTGAATCTCTTGCCCCGGCAGCTCTCCCCATGCCCTGGAGGCTGAGCCTCGCTGTGCTCCCTTAAGCCCCGTCTCTCCCTCCCGGCTGAGAAACCCGCGTCTCCAATCCCACTCGCCCATGTTGCTTGGTTACTTCCACAGCAAGACTGACTTTAAGATACTTCTCGCCTTCGCCAGAGGCAAATCACTGCGCAATGGTCCTGGTGACTGTGGTGTTTCCACTGCTAGATCTCCTGGGACCCAAGTCGCAGAAATTTGCTTGATGTTCAGCTGCTTGGGAAATAGCCTTTTTTCCCCCACCAAGACCCTACTAATTTTGTATCTATCTTCCTCCCTACGAGTTACTCTGCAGTGAATCTCCTGTGTATGTGTAATGAAGCTGCCTCCAGGCCCTTCAGTCTTTCCACTCTTTTTTATTTCCCCTCGGTAGAGATCGGTGTGGGAAGTGGATGTATCAAAAGGATCTGAAACTACCTGCTAGGATGCAATTAAACTGCTTTAAAGTCTCACTCAGCTTGATTTACACAAATATAGTAACTTTATATATAAAACTATTCCAAAACGACTGCCTGTCTCCGAAATTTGTGCAATTTAAACTTGCTCAAAGCCATCTATACTAGGAGTGTGCATGTTCCCTGCAAACATTCTCAGAGTTCCTAATCTCTAAGCAGATTTTATTACCATGTGTTCTGTAATGCAAACAAGTCCTTTGTGAGCATTTGGCAGGCAGCAATAACTATTTCTCCTTTTTTTTTTTCAAATCCAATCCTATCTCTTACCCCTAGAAAATCTCAATGAAACTGAAAACTTGGGAATGCCTATTTTCTTCTTAAGAATTAATCTTGGCTCTGATTAGCATCAGTAGGAGAAGCTATATGCCTAAAGGGGGTGGGACAAAGAGAAAGTATCAATATACTTCTTAAAATGTTTGTATGTTCAGGTGACTTCCACTTTCGAAGAGGCAGAAGCAGAAAGTTTATAGCAAGATTTGTTTGCTCCGTTAGCTCCGGGCTCGGAGATTACACTCAGTGAGGTGCTTAGGGGAAGCTCCTCTCACTTTCAGAGCTTTTAATACAGGATGTGCTGCAGATTAAGATCCTGATTCTGTTTTTTTCTAACCTTGTTCTTGTCTTGCCCCAGTGTAAAGCTGCTGATGTTGGCAGCATGACTGGGTGCAGAAATGCAAACCAAAGGGCAGCCAAGGCTATGATATACTCAAGGCTTACCCCCCAAACCATGCACATGTTCAGGATTTTCCGTGTGTGAATATTTCCGCTAAAACCATTAGTGTTCTCCTGGGCAGGACTAACATTTCCATAGTTTAAAAGTAATCTGAAATCCATTTACAATTTAAGGCCAGAACAGACCTGTGGATCATTTGTTCTGAACTCTCATGAAGATCTGGACATCTTATTTCCCATAGCTACCTGTGAACAGAACTTAATAACTCATCTTCAGGTACAGCTCCCAGCAATACATCCAGTTCTGATCTGAAGATACAGAACTTAGAGAACACACTTCTTATTCATTTTTTTAATTTTTTTTATTCAGTTGTTTGTTTCAGCGGTTGGTTGAACTCCCAGAAGGGAAGAGTCCATCCAATTTTTATTCTCCAAAGTCAGTTGTCTTGTTTCAGCTTTTGTTTGTAAGCTCAGTCTATACATATATAGGGAGACCACGATCACTGTGGTATATTTTGCATGAAAACTGTAAAGCACAGTGTTAACGGGATGCTTAGATAAAGGCAAACAGATTCCCCTTCCATCTTTCACTAATTCAGGCCCTCTCTCAACTCTCATTTGCTTTTCCCGTGTGAAAGTGGCAATGTTTGTTCACCTTCACAAGACCCTCAGGTGCAAGGATGCTGCAAGAGAAAAAAGTACCAGTGTTGTTATACTGTTGCTGTGCAAATAGTGCCTTAAACATATATGTAACGTATGTGTGTTTACATACCTATTTTCAGTGATACTTTTTGTTACAACATCCAACTTTCTGTAAAGCTTTCTGGGGAAAAATATTCAAACACAGGTTCAAAAAAAGCAACTAGCAACTGTTGTTGTTCTAACCATGTATCCTGCCCAGTGGGGTAAGTATGATTAAAGCATCGGCTTTAGAGATGGAGTCATGGACATGCAGCAAGGCAGAGAGAGCGAGAGAACTCGGCCGCAGACCTCCCCGATCCAGGGCCCTGTGGCCACCAGCAGCTGGGTGAGGCGATGCCAGAATAAAAGGAACCTTCCTTCGTCCTCGCCTGGTTGTATCCTCTTTAATCCTGAATTTCAGGATGAGTTGGGAAAGCAAAGGGCATTGGGGTTCATAGTGCTTTTCTTTGCTCAGGCTGTATAAAGCAAGTCAGCATTATTCCTTTCAGCCTCACTTCAAAACACCCATCTTAGAAACATGGGAAATACCTGTCTTGCCTTCCCGTTTTCCTGACTCATTCCCATGTGGCTAGCAGGGAGAACTGGCAGTGGATTCAGGAGAAGGTGCAGGGCCACCCAAGGGAGTCACTGTCTGAGTGGGCAGGATGCAGTTAGCAAAAATAAACCACACACAAAATTGAAACAACCTAAGAAAGAAGCCCATGTGTTGCAGGTCCTAATTTGCCACTGTGACCTTCTGGTGTAGTAAATCTGCCAGCTCTCAGAGCACCCATGGAACTGCTTATACATTTTCTCTGCAGATTGATTTTTACAAAACTCAATTTGGACTCGATTACGGTAATAATATAAATAGCTTTTTATAATTATAAGTACTTTTTATAACTGTAAGGCCTTCAGTGAAGACCTGCACAATTTCATTTGATCTGGTTCTATATTAACATTTTTGAGTTGATTTTGAAAGTTTTGAACAGACCTTAAATTTTTATGTCTAAAAGAAAATACTGTTGAAGGAGCAACTCCAGCACATCCCAGCCTTCTATTCATAATGTACCAAAATAAGCCAAGTGAAGCCAAATCATCTCATTTTCCCTTGCAGGTCATTTTGATGTTCAGCCCAGCTCTTGCTGTACATGATTTGGTTACTTAAAACAGATTAAGAAATTTAATCCTGCCATTAATTTAGCTGAAAATATTGCTATGAGTTAATTAGACTGACCATAAAGACAAAGAGTCTAATTTCAACTTGTGGTAATGAAGGCTCAATTTTCTTAGTGCAGATGGGCCTGGGAAGACTCATGTGGCCCTTTCTGGCCACAACGAATTGCTTATTGTATCTGCAGCAAAATCTAGCCAGGCTGGGGTTACTTAGGTAGTAACGGTGGAAAGTGGAGGCTCCCAAGATCTTTGAACTGGGTAGTTCAAGTTCCAGTAATAACCAAGGGAATTTGGGTGTCCTGTGAGCTCTGGTTTCTCTTGTCCATTGCAGCCCCTGGGCAATAAGTAGGGACTGTCACGTGGGTGTATGGTCAGGCACAGACAGCTAAAAGGTGAGCGACAAAGGTAACTAAAGGCAGCGGTTGAAAAATCTTTCATTTGACACCGAAGCTTGTCAGAGAAGAAAATATGAGGACAGAGCTTTTGTTGATCAGCTGGAAGTTCTCTCTCTCTGTCTGTGGCAAAGCGCTTTCTGTGCAAACCCAGTGTTTATCTGACTAAATATGCTTTTCCAGTGTGTTTTGCCCTCCAACCTCTCCTGTTTGCTGGTGGGAGGCTGGTGCCTCTTTGTTTTTGCTGTGGTAACATCTGATGTTTTCTTTCCAGCTGCCGGATTCATTATAAGGATATGTACAATTTGTTGCGTGTTATTGCTCCACCCCTGGGCTTAGGAAAGAAGTGCCCTCATAGGGTGGCATACAAGGTTTGCAACTTCGGAGACTCCCTCCAGCATTTTCCGTTGTGTTTTCGTTTCTTTTTACCCCGAGTGCAATTGCAAATGATACAGAAAAGAAACCGTAACGCAACGCTCTGCCGCGTGAGCCGGAGTGGTGGAGTGACTGCCGCCTTTCTCCTCGATGCATCTCTTCCCCGTCTCCTCCCACCCCCCAGCTGGCTGGAGACAGGCAGCTTTATGAGACAGGGGACTCCAGAGCTGTGATCCGGAGGTAAAGTGGTGGGCAAAAGCCACCCAGGATTTGAATACTCCCTGTACATATCCACTAGAGAGAAATGTCATCTGAAGGCTTCTAGGGAGTCTTAGGTCTATTTACTTTTAGCTTCATAGTGCTGTCCCTCAAATGACTTAACATTTGAATCCTTGTTTTCCTGAGTTGAAAAGACGTTTTATCTGGAGGCAAGCTAAGTTGTCAGCAGAACAACCAGCGAGAGGCGAAGGAATGAGATCTCTGTCTACCCCAGCACCTGTGGATTGCCTTGGGAGCAACACTTGCATCTCTGAGGCTGACAGATGTGATATGCAGAGAGTGAAGCCTTTTGCCTCATGGACTAGAAAAGCTCTACTGTTTCTGAGAGCAAAAGTGGAGAATTAGGGACAGATCTTGCAAAGACTGCAGGCAGGCTAATGCCTCTCGGCAGGGTGCTCAGGACATGAGTGAGGACCTTGATATAGATAAGGATTTTTTCTGCTGTTATTGCAAGGAGAACATAAGGAGAAGGTGAAGGATGCATAGTGGAAATGCCCAGAGTGGGGAGCTGCCATGGGTCTTCCCAACCCCGGTGTTTTCCACCTCAGACTGAGGGCTGAGGGTTAATGTGCAACGCAAAGAAGGCATCTTCAAGGGGCACCACACACCAGCAAGCCCCTGTACTGCCAAGTGGGGGTTCGGTGCAGAAGAGGAGCCAGGATTGTGTCACAGGTTGCAATTACAATTTCAGTCTCATCAGCCTTTAACTTAATTTTGGGCTGTAAAATCTGGGTGGTATTTTAACCAAGTTAGTTATTACTGACAGGAAGGGATGCTTTTTGCTTGATCAGTTCTCTCCCCAGTCCTCGCCTGCATCCAAGCTTTGTGTAGGAATTCAGGTCTGTGGCAGGAGAGGTGTTGGGGTGCCGGTTGTGCAGCTGTCCTGCTGCAAGAACTATGTTTCATCTGAATGCCTCAGGTCCTGGTTTCCTCATGGTACAGTGGGGATGATAATAGGTTCCTGCTTTTCAAGGGAAGTAACATTAATTAAAATTGTTCTGTGATATACTTGAGTCTCCTCAGATGAAAGGCAGCCCAGGATTACACAATATAACAAGCAGGCAGCTTCCTGGGAAAACAAAGTGAGATTGCCACAGTTGCGGTCACAGTTTCAGCAGAGCTAACAAGAGGTTAACTAGGCAGATTTCTTACTTTTTTCTGCCTCTCTTGATTTTCAGGGTGGGATTTCAGTTGCCCCCAATATGCACAGAGGGTGGATGGCATCAAAAATGGCAATAGGTCTAAAGGCCTGTTCCCAAATCTCCATCCTTCCTGATTCCCTCTTAGGCTCAGGACCACCAGCTGGTGTTGCTGGCGGTAGGTCCAGCTTGAGCAAAGTGTAAGGGAAGGGAATGCATCCCTTCCCCCATGCAAGGGAAAAAGGAATCCCTTTTCTACCACCTTCCCGCAGATTGAGCACAGGGCTCTGGTTTTGTCAACACTGAGTTTTGACTGAGGGCAATCAGTGCTGGCCGAGGTTTGTGGCGTTGCACCGTTTGCTTGGAGTCAGAGCAGTCATGGTCTGTCCTCATTAGAAAACAAACAAAAGTGTTAGGTTTTCCCTTGTTTGCCCTTTTTTAGCCTGTAAGCTAGACTGAAAATCAAGCTCTTTAGTCCCTACAGTAAAACTGAGGTGTTTTCTGTCTCTGTCCCATAACTCTGCCTCCCAGCTCTCCCCAGCATGGTGAACATGACCTTTCCGACTGCCTGGATTGGGGCGGCAGGGAAGAGCCAGCGGAGCCGCCAGCGCTCCCACGTTCCTGCCCTCCCCTCCGGACGCTTCCCTCATTCCCAACGGCCTCTGCGGGGCTCAGGGATGGGGGGCTTGGGATTTCTCTGCAGCGAGGAGGAGACACTGAGTGCTGAAGCAAAGGAGCGGAAGCGGAGAAACCTTGCGATTTAGCCACCTTGTTATGTTGTTTTTGTTTTCCTGAGAAATCTGATTAACCAGATATCTGTTTTCTTGTCTGCTTTTCCCCTCTTCCCTTCTCTCTGTTCCTTTTCATTTGCTCTGCTGTGTTGCCCTTTTCCCTTCTCCCCCCCTTTTTTCTTTCTTTTATTTTCTTTCTCTTTTTCCTTCTGCTCTGGTTTGATTTCTGTATCCTCCTGCTTTTGCCCCTCTCCCCATGACTCCCAGTGGGCGCATCAGTTACACTGACATGTACGAGATGCTGAGACACATGTCCCCACCTCTAGGCCTTGGGAAGAAATGCCCAGCTCGCGTTGCCTATAAGGTAGACCACCTGCCCTCCACGCTCTCGCCAAACCACCAGCTTTTTGTGCCGTGGCTGTAACGGGGGCCATTTTTTTCTGTGACATCAGTGCTGTTCTCCTGGATTCTTTCTAGTGCTTTATCTGCTTTTGAAGCAGACTGGATTTTGAACTTTCTGTTTTTTTTGTAACTTTTTTTTTTCTTCTTTCCTTTTTTTTTTTTGGTCTCTGAAACTATGGCACATCCGTTTGTCTTTCGAACTATGTCTCTGCTCTTTTTATTGATGTTTCTCTCCCCATAATTCTGCTTCCATTTAGTCTACTTGGGGGCGGGAGGATGCTAATGCGCAATTTACCCTGCCAATACAGCCCTCATCCATCTCTGTACAGCCCTTAGACTATCCACTCTCGCTAGCCTTCAATAGCTAGATTGGTTTGTTTTTCCCTCTTAATTAGCTGAGAGTAATTAGAGTAGGCACTGTCGTAGGAGTTAGCAAGCTGTTAAACAGAGGCATCACCAGAAGGGCTCCTTAAATGCGCTTGTTAAAGAAATTATTTTAACTCCGACCGTTTAAGATGGGAAGACAAAATTACTCAAACTGTTTATTCCGAAAAAGGGCTTTTTAATTGAACCACAGGAACACATTATACCCCAAAGTCAGTGAGTGGCTGCGGTTCAGATGCTGCTTTGATGAATGCAGCAGCAGCTCGGGCAGGTGCAAAGTCAAAATCACAGGGCAGGGCCAGATCCTGCCAGGAGGAGCCATGTTGTTTCCAAGCAGGGTATTGGGAAATTTGCATTTTGCAGGGGCGATTCCTTGGGAGTTTTTAGCGCTGAACCTCACACTTTTAGAGGGAGAGACTTACAGACTTGCTAAAAGCATTTAGCAGGGGTGTGAGTCAGCTTCCAGCTGACCCAGACGCTGCAGGTTATTGCAGCCACCACGAAGCCTAATCACTGCAGCCCAAGCTGTGCTGCAATGGGATGCAATGGAGTCAGATCCCACCAAATCTCCCTGCAGCGCTCATTTTTTTTTTCACTGGAGGCAAGATTTTGCCATGAGGCTTAAGCTAAACCTAAGCCTGAGCCTACCAGCCTGTGCTTGGGGCACAAAGCAGCAAGAAGAGGTTCATGTAACACTTTATGCAAGATCCTTCCTTAGTGGATGAGGCTTTAAAATACAAAGAATATTAAACCTAACCTTAAAGTTCAGCAGTTAGGTAACCTTTCAGTGTTCCCTTTGGTGTGTTTGTGGCCACCACAGCAGCTGATCTAAAAGAGCATCTCTGTCAGGAACTCTTCATACCCACCTTGTTTCAAATACCCTTGGGAAAGCTGGCTGCCTCAAAACGGTTATCTTGAAACTCTTAGTTATTACAGATTGGATGGACACACGTTCACACAGAGTTACAATTATACATAGATGCTGAATGCTTTAAATGAAATCAGTGGCTCCATTTAGGACTTTGGAGTTTCCAGTGACTTACAGAGCATCTGTGCTGCTGCTGAAATCCGGGCAATAGATGTTTGCCACTGGGGAACCAGGCTGGTTGGGGTCTTGTGGGTATACCAGAATCACTAAGTCAACACACTTTACCTGCCACTCTCAAATGTGTTAAAATTGACATTTTAAGCAAGCCCCTTGGTTTTGCTAGTGTGGCTTCTCTGTGTGTCTGCTCCTTTTGGGCTGTTGCGGGCAGACTCTCCCGGGCAGAGGTGGTGGCGATGTGCCTTCCCGAGGCTGCGCTCACTAAGTCTTCTCCCTGTGCTTTAGCTGATATCAGATTTAATTTGTCGATCTTAAAAAAAAGAACACACACAGAAATTAGCTACCTATGAGGGGACTATTTTTAAAGCACAGACACCTGTACCCTCCATCATTAGTTTTTACACACCGACTAACAAACCAGACGGCCTCAGGGTTTGGGAGGACCTCAGGTTGATTTTGCACGTGGTGCAATAGCCCCAAGATGCAGCAATCCAGACCTAAAACCACATTTGACTTTTCCCCATGGCTTAAGGCCGTGGGTTGGCCTCCCCTCCACTCCC